TTGGGTTAATTGTATCACCTTGCTACAATATCGGTGATCGATAAAGCTTCTAATGGCTAATGAGACTAGACGAGAGTCTAACGACGATTGACAAATAACATGTACACATAAATCCCTACAACTTTATAGGCCATTTATCATTGACAACAGTAAAGCTGATAATGGTGAGTTGTAATTTGTGACTGGAAAATTAGTACGACAGATTCTATCAATTGATATAGTAATTTAATTTCTAATTTAATTAAATTTGTTATTCTAAATTTTAGTTGATCTTGTAATGTTCCTTTTTACGCTTCTTGTTATTATTTATTATGGTCATGGTTACCGGCAGTAGCAGCCGGCCTCGTGGCCACGGGGGCATCGGCGGCGACGGTCTCCCCGTCGGTGGTGAGGCCCAGGAGCCCACCAACGGTTGCCTCCCCTTTTCCCCATCTCTCACCATGGACCACCGAATCCGGCCGCCTCCGACCTCTCTGCCCTGCATCCCTCCACCGGCGACTCCAACCTCGACGTCTATGGCCTCCTCCTGGCCGCTATGGCGTTGAATGCATCAGGGATGGAGGCTGCCCACATCCCCGAGGACCACTGCACCCACAGTGCCTACTCCGAGTACGATTATATATTCCTGCCGTGACATGTGCTTTACTTTTAATCATTTGTTGATTCCTGATTTTTTTTCTCCATCTGTTAGATAAACATGCATGCGATCTATTTATATTTATTAATGGGTCTTAGTCGACTTGATGAATTTTTTTTTAATGAACATGTCGATGATGTGTTGGTGATGCGATATACTACCTCCATCCCAAAATATTTGACGCCGTTGACTTTTTTAAAAATGTTTGACTATTCGTCTTATTCAAAAAATTTAAGTAATTGTTAATTCTTTTTCTATCATTTGATTTATTGTTAAATATACTTTTATGTATACATATAGTTTTACACATATCACAAAAGTTTTTGAATAAAACGAACGATCAAATATGTTTAAAAAAGTCAACGGTGTCAAATATTTAGGGAAGGAGGGAGTATTAGTGATGTTGATCTTAATTGGATATGTCATATTTGTCTACTTGTCTATGTTGATTGGGGGATCTCGGGAGACCTGAGGTTCAGTTGACCACTCGAAGAATAGGTTCAATGAATCAACGGATTGATCGAGCTGCCCTTTTTTATTTTTTGTCTTGTGGGAACCATCAGTGCCGATTCTTAACCTAGCTGTGATGACCATATTATCAGTTCTGAATGTTTACTGTCGGTTCGATTTCTGGCACTGACTAGGGGTTACGACTTACGACCCGACGATGTGGCAACTGGCAAGCTCTACCCGCTTCATCTTCTTTTCTACATACGGCTGTAGAAACCTTATCTACCAACGTACAAGGAATTAATGAATACGTACATTGCCCGGTCGTGCGATACCCAATTTTCTCGAGTTAATTAATCCAGGAAAGACGCTGGAGAGAAGGATTTACGATTCACGAAACCTGTTGTCTGATTTCTGGAGCGCTGATTGTACGCCATTCCGGTGGCGCGCGCGCCCGGCCGCCCATCCGCGATCAGCGCGGCGCGTCCGTCCGGCTAGGTAGACCTCGATCGCAAGCGCCGCAGAAGCCAGAGGCGGCGGCGGAGCGGAATGGCACTCCTCCCTTCAATGGCTCTGTCCTCCCGGGGTAGGGGCCACGTTGGATTTCTTTTATACGTTGGATGCCAACTCGGGCCTTGTTTAGTTGGGGAAATATTTTAGATTTAGTTATCACGTCGGATATACGGACACGCATTTGAAATATTAAACGTAGTTTAATAACAAAACAAATTACAGATTCCGTCAGGAAACTGTGAAACGAATTTATTAAGCCTAATTAATCCATCATTAGCAAATGTTTACTGTAGTACCATATTATCAAATCATGGAGCAATTAGGCTTAAACGATTCGTCTCGCAATTTACACGCAATCTGTGTAATTAGCTTTTCTTGTCCACATTTAATACTCCATGCTTTTTCTTGTCCACATTTAATACTCCATACATGTGTCTAAACATTCGATGTGATGAGTGAAAAGTTTTTGTCTTGTTCAGGGTATGGACACAAAAGAAGGGTGTTCTCAAAAAGAAAAAGACACAAAAGAAGAACCCTTTTAGTTCAAAAAAAAAAGCAAGAAGAAGAAGGCCCCATTTGGTGAGGCCGATCAAAATCCCAGCCCATTCTGATTGGAGGTTTAAGTTTACGTATGGCCATCACAACTTTTTTGACAAGTCCATTTTATACACCTTTGCTTTCTCTAAAACACGGTTAAACACTTGGTATTTTAAATAGTTGGTGGGTGTTAAATATGGATTAATTAGATCATGCCATTACAATTTTCACAGTCTTAAAAAATATCATTACTTTTTAACCATTTGAAATACTATTACAATTCCATAGCTATTAAAATATACAACTACTTACCCCTTCTCTGTCACACCCGGAAGTTTTCCCTTTTTCTCTAGTTTCTAATTCATTAAGAAATCGCTCCGCGAAATTATTTAAGTTAATTTGGAGTTAACCCTAATTATTAAATGCATATAATAAGAGGAATTAGTATGGTAGAATTTTTCTTGAGTTCCCCATGTTTAAATACGCTAACTGTATTTTTAGCGGAATTTGCGTATTTTTAGCGGAATTTACATAGCAAAGAAATAATTTTAATAAGTCACACCAATTCACAGGATTTAGTTTAATTAAGAAAATTCATTCCTCTCTCTCTTCGGCCGTCGGCAGTTTCCGGCCCACTCCCCCATTTCTCTCCCTGGAGCGCGCACGCCTTTGCTAGGCCAGCCCAAGGCCGCAGCTCGCCCACGCTCGACAGTGGTCGGGTCACCGACAGGTGGGGCCCACCTGTCGGGCCCGTCCCCTTCCTCCGGCCGGCTGCCCTAGCCGCCGCCTCCTCAGTCATGCGCCGCCCCGCCGCGCCATGTCCCTCTCCAAGTCCCTAACCAACTCGGCTTCCCTCCCCTGCATCTCCCGCGCTGAAACCCCCTCCTATGCGACTGGGATTAAACCCTATCCTAACCGCCGGCCGCCGCTAAATCCACCGCAAACTGCACTCCCCACCGCTATAAAAAGCATCCCCGTACCTAGGGGTGGAAAAAAAGCCCGGGCTCGTAAACTTAGCTCGGGCTTGGCTCGAGCTTGGTTGGCTTGGCTTGGCTCGGCTCGTAAGCCAAATGAGCCAAGCCCAAGCTTCCTTTTCAGCTCGTTGCTGAAATGAGCCGAGCCGAACTGGCTCGCGAGCCGCTTGTTTTGTCTCGCGAGCCTAAGCCATCATGTATTTATATCGACTATTTTACTTTTTATGGCGTTATTATTTGTCAACTTGAAATTTATCATTAAGATTGTGAAGAATTGAATATAGAAACTTATTTAAATTGTACATGTTGATAATTTGTTCTTACTATTTTTAATAATTACAATATATATATATATATATGAAGAGGTGTTTCAACATAAAGGCTTGCAAGCCAGCTCGAGCTGGCTTGAGCCAAGCTCAAGTTTTAGCTTGTTTCCCTAACTGAGCCGAGCCAAGCCAAGCCAAGCCTAGTTTGTTGTGACCCCTGCAAGCTGAGTCGAGCCAGGCTTGGCTCGACTCGTTTCCACCCCTACTCGTACCCTCCTCTCTCTTTTCGCTCGCTCCCTGCTCGCTCCCATGCCTAGGTCGTCGCCGCGCTGTCGCCCTAGCCACCGCCGCCATCTCCATTGCTCTGGCCGCCGCTTGCCATTGCTAGCCACCGCGCCTCGGCAAGCCAACACCGCCATTGGGTTCGCATCATTGTGGGCCGCCTCGTCCGCCGGTTCATGACCACCGATCGCCGCCGGATCTCGCCGTCACCCCCTCGGCGGTGAGCCGCCATTCATGTTCTCGCCGCCGGCCTCCTTTTCTCCTTTATCTTCCCTATCTAGTCCTCTTTTTCCCTACCTAGGGCCACCATCCTCGTCGTCGTCCTTCGCCACCGGTCGTCACCACCGTCGGTGAGGCCCCCTCCTCCTCCACTTTGTTTTGCCGTGTGTGCGCCACCGCCTCGCCGCATCTCCTCGTTGCCACCGCTGCTTTGTGCCGCCCCTCCGCCGACGATGACCATCGGGCTACGCGCTTGGCCATCGCCTCTCGGTCGGGACGGCTGGCTGCCTCGTTGGCGCCACGTGTGTGACACGTGTAGTCACGTGGTACAATCGCCCCCTGTCCTGTGGACTCGGTCCACCGTGGACTCGCTTGCCTTGAGTCACCGACAGGTAGGACCCGCATGTCGGCGACGGTCCATCCCCTCGCTAACATCAGCGCTCTCCTTTGTTGCGCAATAAATCGTTTATTTTAATTTTGCTGATAGCAAATTGTTATTAAAACTTTTAAAATTCATATCTAATTCATCCAAGCTCTGTATGTAATATGAAAATTCATATCTAATTTATCCGAGCTCTGTTTATAAAAAATTGTTGTTTATAATATGAATAATAATAGCGCACTCAACACATGTTAATTTCATGGATCACATTAATACGATTGTAGACTGTGTTGATAGTCATGCAATTAGAAATAGCACGGATTTCAATTTAGTAATTCTAAAATTTATAATTTATAAATATAATATCGTGCCCATCTTGCACTCTCAATTTTAGTGTTTTAATTATTATTAAGAAGTTGTAATTGACGTGGACTTTTTTTAATTTGAGTATCTATAATTTCAAAAGGCAAACCACACATTTAATTAGAATTTAAATTTTTACTGTCAATACTAATAGACCGTGCAACGCATCGGTTGACGACTAGTAAGCACAAAACAGGGGATTAACTGCCGTTGTATAGATCAGACAGATAGACGACGACTCAAGATCGAGTCGACTGCATGCTTTTGTGCTTCCATCTATTCCTCTTCCTAGACCAGATAGGTAGAACAAGTATAGATCCCATGCAAAGTCGCTTTTTTTCTCAGCTGAATTGAAATATCTCCCGAAGCATATATTCTGACTCCACTTCCTTCCTTCCTTCATACTCCCCTTGAGCAATGCAATCCATGCATGGAATAATGGACCATTCTTAATGCTGCATTTAGCTACATAGTATATAGGTAGTTAGGCAGCCAGAGACCGTTCTGAATTTCTGAGACTGATACATATTTGATGATTCTCCATCACTAACTATAGCTCACTACTACACATGTTGTAGATTGAGTTCCTTGCTGCACTGCATGTACCAGCTAGCTTAAAGATCAGTAGCTTCACTCGCTTTGTTAGCATTGTAGGGGAGGGATAGTTTGCATATCAATTGAGGAGTTTGTTTGTTCATACAGGTAGGTTGTTCCAATATAGAGCAGGCCGGCATGCAGTCACAGATGATGTATGCAGGTGAGAGGTCGGCGGCGGCGAGAGAGATGGCCATGGAGATGATGGCACCGGACCAGAGGCAGATGGGCAGCAGCTGCTCTCTCTTGGGCAGGTTCATATCTAGAGTCTTCAAGTGCAGAGGTAAGTGTACTTATCACTTCACATATGCTAAATTACTAGCAATAATAATCCAGCTGGATACATATATGTTGATTAATTATATATGTACACATGCATATATGTAAAATTTGCAAGTGAGAATTAATTTCCGATGCAAATCAAGCTTGGCTAGTTGATGCGATGTTATTTTGTGCAAAATTTTATGGTGAAATTAATTAAGGGCGGCAAGGACGCATGCGGGGCGAGAGGATGGACTACTACGGCGCCACGGCCTACCCTGCCGCGCAGACGTGCTACGTCAGCCCGGCCGCGCCCGCACGCGCCGTGGCCTTCGCCACCGCCAACGCCATGCGCCCGGAGCCGATGCAAGCCCATGCCGTGGCAGCCATGCCCATGCCCGGCGCGACGTACGGCGCCGCGTCGCCTCGGTCCGGCGGCGGCAAGCGCAAGAAGAAGTCCAAGAACAAGCGCGTCCGGTTCGCGCCGGCAGGGGCGGAGCCGGTGCCCACCGACGCGCCGCCGCCCGCCGCGCACTACGCACCACCGGCGGCGGCGGCGGCGAGCGGAGGCGGCCAGCTCCACCACCAGCAGCACTACCCGTCCGCCGACGCTGCCGCCGAGCCGTACTCCACGGCGGCGCACGGGCACGGGCACGGCAGGTACGCGTACGCGCCGTCGCCGCTGGCGCGGTGGGAGATGCTGGGCTCGGCGGGCACGCCGCGGCGGCACGAGTACTTCTCCGGCGAGTACCGGTGGTGCTACCCGACGCCGGTGCGCGAGGGCATCTACAGCCTCGCCACGGACGCCAACCGCCTCACCACCATCTTCAGCGAGGAGAATCCCAACGCCTGTGCCATCGTCTGACCAAGAAATTCACAATTGTCAGAGAATAATCAAAAGTTCTTCTTAGGGGACAAACTATATATATATAACTAGTGATTAGAGGAATATGATGCTTTCAGCGTTTTAATTTGTAGATAAGGTTGGTGACAGTAGTGTGAGTGGAGTAGCAGTAGTAGCTTTAGTTGGTGAAATGGACCTGTTCTAATGTTTCGGCTTATATTCTCATTGTCCCATGCATACTGGCTTTTGTTAGCACGAGTACTTTTGTTAACCAAGTTGGCAGTGTTAATTAAGTAGGTCTAGAAATAGAATTTGATCAGCACCAACAGTTTTTACCAGGGAGAACGAAAGGATTGATGCATATGGATATATATGATGCTCATTATTCTATACCCATCATCTAATTTGGCCCGAAATTTATATATGTAAAAGGAGATGCTTCGTTATCCCCTACTCTACTCGCAGACTTCATCTGACTTTGCTTGATAATGGCAGAGAGAGGAGCACAGTACGTGGGACTTTGCATGATTAACGAGTAAATTTCACTTTATGCCACCTTTAATAACCAAAGTTTTACAATAAACTAAGGCTCAACCTATATTTTCATATACTAACATCACACATAGTTACACTTCATTGCACCTTGGACCGGGGTTTACAACATAGATTAGCACAATAATAAGATATGTAGCTGGTTATATACTACATCCTATCAAATAAATCAAATGGTATTTCATTACACCGGGCAAATAGCAAATACTTTTGCAGCACACTAAACCCTGCTTGGCACACCTCTGCATTATAATCCAAAGCTGATTTTGAATTTTATTTTTTTTATTTTAAGATTGGTTTTATGTGTTTTTTTTTGTTACTTTTGGTGCCCGTTGTTTGTATGACTGCTGAGAAGACAAGTAAAAAAATATATATCTAATGTAATTCTTAAAACTCAAACTTCAAAATTCGAATTGAATTGAGTTGGATTATAATCTAAAGGAGTTCCAAAGCAGAGCCACTGGTATGTTGCGCCAGTATACCTTTCATGTTCTGTTATTTTCAACCAATATACCTTTCAACATTGTTATGTTGCACCAACAATAATGCTAGAGATCTAAACTCTATAACATCTTTGATAACTTCACCACTAAATATATATATAGTTTTGTGATACGGTGCCTTAAATATGTAGTTCCGTGAAACGTTCGATGATAAATATATAGTTTTGTGATATACATTCTTAAATCAGTTTGCGACGAGCTCACCTCTGGCCCTCTGCTACCTTCTGTTTGCTCCTCCGTTGACGCGACCGCAGCTACTTGCTCCGCCGGCACCCCGCCACTGCTTGCTCCGCGGCCAGCACTGCCGCTTGCTGTGCCGCCGTCGCCGCTCATTGTGTGACGTTCAGGCCCTGCTCGCTCCTTTGCCGCCGCTGCTTGCTTCACCAGCTTCGCTGCTTGCGCCGACGAAGCCCTCGGCTAGGGTTTGGAGCTACATTTGGGGCTGATTAACAAAGATAATAGTTATTGTTTCCTCGTGTAAAAATATAGATAATATATATTACGGAGCACACACACGTGAGCTACCCGCTACTCCCTCCGTCCCTAAATATAAGGGATTTTCGTTGGATGTGATACATCCTAGCACAGCGAATTTGGACAGGCTCTATATCTAGATTCATTATATTAGAATGTGTCACATCCAACCAAAATCCCTTATATTTAGGGATGGAGGGAGTAGTATTCATGTGCAAGTAATAGTGCTGGCTGTAGCAATATTATTATCAAAAAATAAATAAGAATGAGAAAATAAGAAGATGGAACAATAGAAGAATATAAGGTTAAAATTTTTAGTTTCACATCATTTACTATAAAGAACAATTTTAATAATATTAATATATTATCGATTAATGTGAGTATGTACCATACCATGGATGCGAGCAACCACCCTCATGTGTTTGGGGTAGTGACTAACCTCCTCTTTTTCTTACTTTTTTCGAAGTTCTCCGAACATATTTAGGTAAGGCAAAATTTGCTACAGGACACTCAAAAAATGTATAATTGGCTGTGAGACACCACAAAAACGTGACACGGCTGATGTACACTACAAAATTTGTGTAATTGGCTATAGGACACAAAAGAGGTGAGAAATTTTTTGAAATAGCGAGATTGCCCCTGACACGGAGCGCCGCAACCACCTCGCGCACGGCCAACTCCTGCTCGCGCTCCATGCCGCCGCCGCTGCTACCAACGACAACGAGGAGGATGGCGGCGGTGCAGCAGCCATCATCACCGTGGCGGGCTCTCGGCGGACCTGCTAGGGCTCATGCTCCTCCACCTCTCGTCCCTCCCCGACCACGTCCGCCTCCGCGCTGTCTGCCGCTCCTTCCACGCGGGCGCCGCCAGCTATCACGCCAGCGGCTGCTCCCAGCTACAAAATTTTGTGATTTCGGGTAGGGGAAGATGGCGCCAGCGGCAATCTCGCCATTTCGAAAAATTTCTCACCTCTTTTGACCCAAAAATTTAAAATATTGCCTTCAGTGTCCTATAGCCAATTACATAATTTTTGTAGTGTCCATCAGCCGTGTCACGTTTTTGCGGTGTCTCCCAACCAATTACACGTTTTTTTGAGTATCCTGTAGCAAATTTTGCCTTTAGGTAGACAAAAGATGTTTTGTTTTGAATAAAAAAGAAACAATTTAACTAGATTATTTTTTAGAGAGAATCCATCGTGGGCCGCTGACTTTGTCCATGTTCTATAATATGCCACTGAGTTTGTTAAGTTCTACAGTATGTCATTGTATTTTGCTTAAATTCTATAATATACCGTCACCGTCCATTTAGATTCCGTTAGTACTGTACAATTTGTCCTAATGATTGAAATATCCCTAGGAAAAGAATTCCAAAATTTGGCCGAAAATTCCCAAATATCATATTATAAACCAGGCAGAGAAGTTGCCCATCTCAAACTTTGTAAGTTTTACAATCTATATGATAAAATTGTACAATGCTAACAGAAGTTAACTAGACGACGATGGTATGTTATAGAAGTTAAGCAAAATGTGATACCATGTTAGAACTTGACAAACCCAACGACATATCATAGAGCACGGACAAAATCAATGACACACAATGGATTATCTTTATTTTTTATGGTTGTTCGGTTAACTGCTTATCTACTATGATACGGCATTTTTAGAAAAAAGAAGGTTAAATCTTATACTATAAGTCCATATCTTACACATTAAATTGCATACACTTATAATATAATTTTCAAATTATAAAATGCCCTATTCTCATTTTATAGGAGAAATATGCTTATCTACTATGATACGGCATTTTTAGAAAAAAGAAGGTTAAATCTTATACTATAAGTCCATATCTTACACATTAAATTGCATACACTTATAATATAATTTTCAAATTATAAAATGCCCTATTCTCATTTTATAGGAGAAATATGGAAGAATGATTTATTATCTATTTAATTAACTTTACATTCCCGACCTCAACGGCAATCATAACAATAGTGTGCATCACGATAGAAGAGGAGAAAAAGACATGTCATATAAAGGCAAAGCGGAGGAACAATGGTGGCTCATGGAGAAAGAGCGGTGATGGCAGTACGTAGAGTGGCAGCGGTTGCTGGTGGTATGAGGAATTTATCGTCGACACAATCGTCATTTAAATATTGATAATATGTGGGTCACCAGTTATATAAATAAATAGTACTAGCTAGTTTTAAAATAGTAAAAATATTGAGATACTAGTCCAATGCCCGTGCGTTGCAACAGGTCTTAAATAACGTGAAAACGTAATAAACTTATGCATTATTGTTCTATAAATGTATTTGTGAATACAATAATAGTTACTCTAAAAAACATTCAAATGATATCAATCAACTATAACACTATGAATTGGACAATCTAAATTGCAAAACATATACAATGAATTTAAAAATTGATAATAGACTACATTTAGTGAGCGAATTATAGAAAATATGCAATTAGAATATAGTCAGATTGTATGGCAAACAGAATTTTGCAGTTTTATGGTTTGGAGCTAAAACTTGGGCTTGTGCGGGCCTGCGTTTTGAGATAAATTAAGCTAGTAATGTGTGATATCATGCATAAATCGCTCTGAACTTTAATAGTCTGAAACTTGCACATGTATTGATTCTGAAATCTGAACATGGGCGTGCAATTTTTTGTCAACCTATCTGCACAGATAGCTACCATCCACTTTGAAGGAAGATCTGACGATGATATACCATAGTGCATCTATCACTGCATATTAGTTGTATAACAGAACACAGGTGAACACACAACTGCATGGATCAACATCCTCCCGTTCACCGAGATGATCTCCAAGCTTTATCAAGTCCCATAACTGAAGATGTCCAAATCTGGCACTGCAGGTTATACTATACTATACCTGTGTATCACGTTCAAACTATGATATATCAGATTATAACATCAGATACAATTGTTTGAGGAAAGCAAAACAAAATAGCAAATCCAGGATTCAAGGGAATCCTGATACAGTAGAGCGCAATGATGCTATTTCATCTGGCTAACACCAGCATCCATGACTTTTAACCCATTAACAGAGGCAGACCAGCTCAAATTTACAGCATATCCCAGAGTCTGATTACATATTTTGGATACATAAACTCCTGCTTATATCCCATTCCTCCAAGCTGATTTTAGTGCATGTGTTTAAAACCATGAAAATAAGTATCAAGTCAAATAATAACCATGAATATAATTTTCAAACAATCACGAAAGGATCTTGAGTATAATACATCTATGTAAGTGTTGTTCTTGCTAGCTGGCCCTTTCACCATGACAGCAAAGAATCGATGGCAACATAGATTTTTTTTTTATAAAGCAACAACTAAGAGTTTTTTTACCACAAGCAGTGGAGGCAGCCATTCATTAAGTTTTAGAAGAAGCACAAGTACACGCCCTTGTTTACCTAAGTATTGGGGGGAACAATATCAAATTCATCACAAAGAAGAAAACAAAGTGCTTGCAGCACCCCCTTCACTAATAACGATCGACATAGCAATGTATGGCCATGTACCTCAGTAATAAGGTAGAAATTTTATTCAACCAGCTTCTCGTTGAAGTTCCTCACCTCCATCCTTGATCACCGAGAAATCAGATGCCTGCAAAAAGCAATAAATGGTCAGCATGGTCAACATTTCTTATCAAGGCAAAACACTATAATGAACATATAGTGGGCAGACTATTGTACTCATGTTGACCTACGCCTCCACACCATGCCGCCTCATATCAAAAAATGTTTTCATTTGTACGACAATTGCGCACTACATTTTTAGGAACATCAATAAGATATTAATATTACCTTCATTCAATTCATATCCACACAAAAAATAAAGAATCTCTGCATGTCCATTTTAACAAAATGATTAGCTGCTAGCTCATCTTGTTCTTGAAAATATTTTATCCTATTCTGTCTGAGAGAGGCAATAGAGAACTGAGGATATACAAAATGATATGAACATATTAATTTAGATTGCAGCACTAAAACACACTATATCTAGTGTTGTGGCTGTCAATAACCACCTAATATGTGCCTTATGGAATTGGAAGCAATGAACCAATGAGATCAAATCAGTGGTGGAACAAAATTAGTTTATCCTAAACAGTTATAGGAACAAAACTATATATAAATTATTACTTCTAGAAGCAACCAAGTATACTTTTTGAAACAGAGTCTTGCCATTTTGCCATAGAAAGTGTGCTTTAGTAGCCCTTCAAAAATATTTTTTTCACTTGTCCAGTATGCATACTGTCAGCTGAAAAGAGTTCATTACTAACCTTGAATAATATTGAAAGCACTATTCAGAAAAGGTTAATCTTTTAAGTGAGGATGGATTATAGTTGGACTAACCATCTTCCTTTGTCATTTTGATACAGTATAGTTTAATTGTTGTTGATCTACCGTGTCAAATATAGTGCATGCGACATCATGTAAAGAATACAGCCTTACCCTCTGAGTTGTTATTCAGGTCATTTCTCATATATTTATTCTATTAGGACTTTCAACTTTACGTGATGCATCAACATATATTAATTGTTATTATGAAGATAAAACATGGCAGCATATGCATTCAGCAGAACTTACCTAGAACTATATTATATTGGAGAGATAGATGGCATGAGGGATGAGTCTAGTCGCCAACCTAGTCACGTCCAGCCGGGATCGATTTGCAGCCGCCGGGGAGAGAGTGGAGAGGCGATACGGTGTGCGATGGTGGTGGAGGTGGTCGAAGGGGAGAGAGCGGAGCGGAGATGCAGAGGAAGGCGTCTACTTTGAAGCTGCTCAATTAATTTATCCCTAGACAATTCAGAGGAACCAAAATAATCATTTGTAAACTGAAATGAGATTAAAATGCAGATGGAAACACACAGACATATCCAAGGAGTGGATGCTATAGCAGAAAAAGACAGATTTTATAACGATGGCATCAAATGTAGACAAATATCCACATATGAAATGCATTCTCCATCAGTTCAAATTACCTCAATACTGTATAGAACTATTGATAGAGCCGCAAGAAAGCATGCATTTTTTTTCCGTAAGAGACAGATGAACTATTCAGATATATAGGGAGGATTTAGCACTATTAGACAGTGAAACCAAACAATGTCCATCAGCTTTAAGTTAGGTTGGACACCATACCAGGTGGAGGTGTAGGGGAGGGGGGAAGCGGGTGGCTCCCGTCGATCCGGCGGTGGCACAGGTGGAGCGGCTGCGCAGCCGATGGAGGAGGTCGGTTGGAGGCTCCCTATGACGGCGCAGGTGGAGCGGCTGGCGGCTCCCGTCGATCCGGCGGTGGCATAGGTTGAGCGGCAGCGCAGCCGATGGAGGAGGTCGGAGTGCGTAAAATTTCAGGTCAACGCATTCTCCCTCATCTGCCAAGCAAAAGCATAAAAACTTGATGTATAATATAAGAAGTAAAACTGAAACAAAGATAGAAAGCAATATGAACCATGAGTATGTCTAGATAACAGAGAAACCTACTCAGATTTGCTATTTAAATTTGGTTGAGATAAATGCATATTACAAATAATTAAGGGAGGCAGAGCTGAGGCAAGCTTTAGCTAACAGGTTATTTCTACTTGATTGCAACGAAAGTATCACTGCGAAGAAATGCTCAGCATCGATAGTGAGCTGTGCAGCCCAGCATCTCAGAAATCAAGGTACATTCGATTTCATCCAATGGAAAATCGCATCAGTTGTTCAGTATTTACAGTCGAACCTAAGATTTGGAAATAACAGCCTCAATCTCCTATGGGGAAAATCAGTAACTCCATTTGCTTCAAGTGACTCTATCTAGCATCGGTCTCACTGAAATCAACAAGGCAAGGCACAGATCGTTCAAGCGTAACAAAACCAAAGCTATTGCAAGAACATAGGTTGAAACTGAAAGGGAGAGAAGATGAAATCTAGGGTTTGGGTAACAAACACACACCTCGAGAACAAACGAATCGAAACTTTTCTTGTCGTTCTCAATCCTGCTCCTGTGAGGAAAAAAAAATTGAACACCCGATTAAAAGAAAGCAAGGCAGGAGGCGCCTCGCCCACTCCACCCTGCTCGGGGCGAGACAACACTAGGGCAAGGGCATCCGCGTGAGGGGAGGAGAGGAAGAGATTAGGGTTTGGGGAGGGGGTTGGCGACGCTTGAGAGAGGAATAACAGATACCTGGGTGGGGCGTCGCCGTCGGCGGAGGCGGTGGACTCCTCCATCCCCGGTGCACAGCCAACCCTCCACATCCCCGGGAGCGCGACGGCGGAGGCGGCGAAGAGGAGGTGGGCGCGTCGTCGGCGGTTGGATCGCTACCACGATCTGGCCTGGCCTTGTGGGGGAGAAGCGATTCGCGGGGGAGGAGCGCGATGGGCCGGCCGATGGGCTCCTCCCTCAACACCGTCCGATCTCCCGATCCCACGGTTAATAATAGGTCGTGTGTCTCTAGTGTTAAGTAGAGAAGGGCGGAGTAGTCGTCGAGTATATCGCGTAAAAGAAAAAAGAAATCTCCCCGTCTCCTTCTCCTTGCCTCCTCCGCTCCTTCTCGCGCCGCCGCCGCCAAGACGAGTCGCGTCGCGGCTGAACAGGGGAGGGCCGGGCGGCGATCTCCATCTGGCGAGCAGCGGAGGGGAGGGATCCTGATCCTGGTGCGTCCTCTTTCTGATTCATCTCTCTCTCTCTCCCACCCCACCCCCACCCCCACCGGGACTGGAATTTGCTTGCGTTCATCAACCCTACTAGCTTCTCTTCTAGATCTGGAAGAAGCTCTTCTCCTCCTCCTCCTTAATTTGATAGCCTTAAACCTCTCTTAATTCATAATTCAAGTAATAACAGTTTGTTTCTTCACCCAAACTTAGAACCCCCATTTGGATCCGCCCCTGTTCTCTTCTCTGTTATATATATTGCCTTCTAGAAAATATTTTTTTAGAAAATAATTCAGTGTCCGCTCAGAGACCGAGCACCCTAATAGGCAGAGGTCGAAATCTACCAACAAATGAGAGTTGGGCTGTGTTTAGTTCGTGTGCCAAAATTACTTTGAAGTATACAGACACACATTTGAAGTATTAAATGTAGACTAATAACAAAACAAATTACAGGTTCCGTATATAAACTGCGAGACGAATTTATTAAGCAGGCTCAAAAGATTCGTCTCGCAATTTACATGCAAACTGTACAATTGGTTTTTTTTCGTCCACATTTAATTCTCCATGCATGTGTCCAAACATTTGATGTAACGGAAAAGTTGGAAGTTTGAAGAAAAAATTTTGAATCTAAACACGGCCTTGGTAGGACCAAACCTACCAACAAAAGCTAGCGGCTTGTCTCACATCAAGTACTGGTCATGCCTGGTATATCTGCGAAAAGGTTGGTATGAACAATCTCCACACAAATGTTATCAGCTTGATCACCTAGTATTGTGTCGAACGGGTGTCCAATATGCTTGTAAGTTGGTTAATAAGGTATGTGAAGTTATGCTGACCGCATGAGATACACAACTAGTAACCAATTCAAGTGCTACTAAAAGTGGTCAAGGTCCTCGTTCGTACCTCGACCAGAGATTGTAGTGATCCTCCCACTTTTACGAGTGGTCGAGATACGACTACACCTGGTCCTTGTTCGACAAGAGATAGTAGTGATCCTCCTACCTTTACGAGTGGTCGAGGTATGACTACACCTGGTACTCGCTCGACCAGAGTGTTAGCGATCCTCCCACCTTTATGAGTGGCTGAGGTAAGACTACAGCTGGTCCTCATTTGACCTATAAATACAAGACCCCAAGGAGGAGAAGGAATGGGACCAATACAAGAGAATCCAAGACAATCCAACAAGCCTATATATACCCAGTACATAGCTACAAAAGCCGACAAGAGGGATCTAGAGCTATCTCCAATATCGCCAAGTTCTTATTTGAGAAAATGGACTATTACTAGCCGTCGAACATATGTCTCCAATATCGCCAATATTAGATTAGGTCGTTATCAATATTGTGTACTCGTGTGATATTGATATATAATGGCAACACTGGTTTCGATCAAACCTGTATAAAAATCCTTGTCTCCCGTTTCTTTTACCTCAACTCGCATACGCTGTTGCCTGCGAGCTCAGAGGCGAGCGAGAGGCATACTGTGCGCGACCCCGGTCGAGTGACGGGTGCTCAGATGGACTAGGGCTGAGATTACGCCCCCTTCATGCCTACAGAACAAGGGCCCACCCGACCCACGGGAGGATGGGCCAGGTTGTTCTTGTCCAAGCCCTCCCCCCTTAACAACATCTTGTGGAGCGGAGGACGGGTTGCGCTTGGGCCCTCGCTACCTGGTGGCACAACGCGGCCTGCGTTGAGGGGCCCAGATCGGCACAAGTCCCAGCCCTACCTGGCCACATGTTCTTCTCAAGGGTCAAGACTGACAACAGACAGATCACACTGAGATTTCCAAATCCGGTGCCGCTGTACCCCGTCTCCGCTAGCGCCACAGGGTGAGCATCCAAGTTTTTCCCCCTTCCAGTTCCACCGAGGCACACAACTCGAATTCTCCCTCTTCCTCTCCTCTTCGGCTCTTCCCTCCGAAGTGGTTAGCCCCGAAGAGATCCAGCCAAGTGGCTTCCTTTGGCTAGCTAGGAAGTAAGCCTAGACCTGGCTCGCTTAGATTATATCCCAACTCCTGCTTTGCCGCATTCTTCCATGCTAGGGCGATCTCCGATTGGGGAGGTACTAACCTCTTTTTTCCTGCCATTTTTGTCTCCTGTCAGGATTTTGGGCAAAGGTGGGGGTGAATTTGCACGAGGGTTTTGGTTGATGGCGAACATTCGGGCTCTTCTCATCGGGTAAGATGTGGATGCTATTCTACCGATTTATGGTAGGATAGTGTTTATGTTAGGCGATCCACTGCTTGATGATTTGCGCGTGTTGACATCCCGCAGGTTGGTACGTGCCAGGGGTTCCTTGGTGGACATTGGGCGATGCGTTTCTTCTTCAAGGTATAACGTTGGACGATTAGTCGCAAGATTGTTTTGTTTGATTGTTCTCCTGGATCCGTGTAGAATTATTCAATTGTTGCTGGTCTTCGTGTGAACACCAAATTCGATGCTAGGGTTAGCTGTCAATCCTGTGTCTAATATGTTCCAATTCATTTTGGTCTTTGAATTACATTATTGAATATTGTTGAATTGGGATGCCAAGTTTGGGGCATGTGCTTGGTAAAATATATTGTGAAAGTTGCAACTGCTTTATTATGTCGTTACATGTAGCTTTGCATTGCACATTTTTTGACAGAATGTTTATCTTCCAGGCCTTCATATCTAGCGTCACTGGGCAGACATTACAAGGTTAGCCAAAAGATTTATCCCCTTCTTATCCACAGTGTAACTTATATGCCATCTTTTCAGGTTCCCATGGAAATTCGTTGGTTATCCTCAACAGGTACATCATGTTATCCCATCCTTCCAATATATGGCATATTGTAGTATGCATATTGCTTCTTTGGTGTGGATGTGTTGAAATAGTACATCCCTTGGATAGGTCGTTGTATTCACAGGCGACTATAGATTATACAAGACAGAATATTTAATGGCTTATGGAACTCTGTGCTCTCGTCATAGTGCAATTGTTGGAACTTGGAACTTATCTCCTCATGGCTTGCATCAATTGAATATGTGAAATATATATATTTTATCATAAATAACATGGACATGCGAAGTTTTACTTGTTTATTTGCTTCTTGTTTGTTCCACAACATTATCAAGAGAAATCTCACTTGCCGCAAAGAGAAGTTGGTATGCTAAGCAAGACATCCATTTGTACATTATGATACGATTATTCTAAGTAGCGTAGGTTAGTTGATAAAGTACATCCATTTGTAGAGTTAAGTACGCAATCCGTAAGCCATTAATGTATCATTCTATTTCCTTTGCACATTTGTGTGGTGTCTTTAGTGTTCTGGAAGCAAACAACACGGAAGCAGCGTTAGTTTTAAACTAATCGACTTCCCTGCGCACCTGCATGGCTAGGTATATACATGTTCTTTTGTATTTGAAAATAGAGTATGTATTTCATATACAGCTATTGGGCCTGCTCGGCTGCTGTGGCAGCAGCTTATTGGGCTGCAGCAGCAGGCCATGGGCACTGTTTCTGCATGTAGCAGCTGGATACGTCCCACAGCACGTGAGCAGGGCCCTTGTACCTAATGCTGTAAATACAAATAGTCTTTTTATTGGAGAAAAAAATAAAGGATTTGGATCCCTAAGGATTAATTCCTATGAGTGTCATTCGGTTTGTAGGAATGCTGTACAGGAAAATCAAAGAAATTTTCCTTTCCTTAGGAATTTTTCCATCTACTCAAACCTCTTGGAAAAAATCCTATGGATTGATGTGTACATGCATTCCTATTCCTCCACTTTTCCTATTCCCATGGGTTGAAATGCCTCCAAACCGAATAAGCCCTGAAGATGCTAGTATAGTTTGGACAGATCACAATTAACAGTGCATACCTTTTTCCTTATATCATATTATTATGTTGGTTTCTAGACCTTGAGAGTGAAATTTGAAGCCTTTTTCTACTGTTATAATATGTAATACAAAGATATCCTTTAAATATATCCTTAACTCTCTCCAACAGGGTTTCCTCCTCATCTGGTGGTTGGGATGCCTGCATTATCCCCTACTATGGTAAAAACATAAGCATCGGCATATTAATATTTACTGATGGCTCATTGTGTTCCCCCTGTCTACATCATTGGCAATCTAATATATTTTTTCATTAGAATCAAGGTAACATTGCAAAATGGAGAAAACAAGAAGGTGAAAAGGTTAGGATTTTGCTCTGGGATATTTCATAATAGAATTGAAACATCTTGTTTCCAATTCAGAGTTCTTTATTTCTTTTTTATATATTAGTTTCGATCAAAAGTTATCTGTTGTTTGCAGATAGAAGTTGGTGATGTGATCTGTGAGATAGAAACTGACAAAGCTACGCTTGAGTTTGAGAGCCTTGAAGAGGGGTAATGTCCTTTGTTTGAGCTTTGTCTTTGGCTTGAAGCAAGATTTCCATGTTATTTCCTTAAAATCAGTGCTCCCTCCGTCATAAAATATAGCAACTTATAGCATTCAAAATTTGTCCCAGAAAAAGGGACTGAACTCGTTTAATCGTAGATCTGAGATTATCTGTATCATCTTCTTTGTAAAAACTAGTTAATTAGGTATTATCATCTTCTATAAACTAGTTATCTATGGCAGAGATTATCTATATCATCTTCTTTGTAAAAACTAGTTAAAGTCAGTGCTCCCTCCATCATAAAATATAGCAACTTATAGCATTCTTTGTCCCAGAAAAAGGGACTGAACTATAGCAGAGATTATCTATATCATCTTCTTTGTAAAAACTAGTTAAAATCAGTGCTCCCTCCGTCATAAAATATAGCAACTTATAGCATTCAAAATTTGTCCCAGAAAAAGGGACTGAACTCGTTATTATTCTAGTAGCTTAAGCACTGAAATGACTGCGTCTTCAATGGCTCCAGTCCAAATATTGTGCTGGTGCTATAAACAGTGGCAAATGAGAGTAGCCTTTGGTGTTTAGCTGGAGACCATGTGCTCCTCCTACGGTTTCTTACCCTGGACGCATAGGGGCTGTTTAGTTGCCACCCTGATGCAAATATGCCTGGCCAGAGCCAAGCCTGAGAAAACAAACTTGTTTGGTTGGTGCCTAAACTCCTTCATACCCAGCCTGGCCTGAGCTCTCCGGCAGATTCATTAGCCTGACTGAGGCGATGAAATTTGGTGGCCTGAGCTCCATGCAGCGGCAGGCTGAGCAGAGTGCTTCCATGAGTACTACTGTAGTTGACTAATCTCATGCTGCAGCTGGTTGCTTTCTTTTATATGTATCATGCACCTAGAACAATAGCTTTTTATTGGGAAGTGTACTGGACTGGTTAAAATACTACAGAAAAAAATAATACCTAATTAATACTTACATTTTCCATGTACATATATGGATCTACGATTAAACATAGTTTTTACAAAGAAGATGATATAGATAATCTGTTTTTACAACCAAACATATTTTTCTCAAGCATATGCCTCATGCATGAATCATCCAAACCTACGCAACACTCAGCCACCTATTTTTTTTGGGATAATGCTCAGGTTGCCAACTTAACAGGCCCTTAGTTTGTTTCTGGGTGATCTGGTCAATTAACACTGTGGTGCGTTTTCTAGTTTTGAGGGTGTGTTTTTTAGGGGCCCCTTCTTGATCCCCCTCCGCCCTTTTGTATTTTTCTTTCTTATAATGAACTGCGGTTCTCCTGTGTTTTGTAGGAAAAAAAATAACTTCTCTGCTTACTCCCTCATCTCAACCAATAACAATTATCCCCCATTTAATTTCACCCCTCCTTAATCTCTGTGAAACTCTGGAAGTACTTATATTTTGGAATGGATACAGTAGTATTTATCCAGTATGTAACAAACTAAATGTTGTTTTTCCTAGCTTGTACATATACGTTGCTAAGCATGAGTCTAGTGTTTTTTGTAGCTACAGATAAGTGCTTATCATTAGAATTCCCATTTGGTGATAGAACATGTTATGATTCTCCCAGAATAGCATTGAGATATTACATATTTTTCTAATTTCCACTTTATATGTACGTCTTATAACCCTTCTGCCTATTTTTTTCTCGAAAAAAATCTTTTGCCTGTTTCTTTATGCCATTTGGATTGTGGGTTAGAGGTTGGGAAATGATGGTTCTAATGGATCTGCACCCATGTTTAATTGGAGGAATGGGATATGCTGAGGCTCTGGGAAACGGATATGGAGACCTAATGTTAGTGAAACGGTGATCTGACAAAAGTGCTCATTGTTTCGTCCAATATACCGTTGCGGAGCCATTATCCTATCCAACAGCTACTGCGTAATCAAATTCCATTCCCAGCGTGCCATTTGAAAGAACATAATGTGTGATTTACTGGTTAACTAATCCAAACATGTTGCTGTTCATCCATACAAGTTTAGCCAATCTATTTTTCTATGTTGAAGCGAATTTGAGAAGATATATTCCTTTATTTCCCTCTTTTGTCATATGACATGGAAATGGGCAGAATGTTCACAGTGCAATTTTGTTTAATCTATTCCATTACAGCATGAGAATAACATGACAGATGACAGATCACAGTTATGTGTAACTACCTGCATACCATGGTTGGCTAACATGCTTTACATTTTACAAAATGAAACATTGATGTTCTTCTCCTAGCCTCCTAGATGTATTGTGGATTTAGCTTTGTTATGAGCTTTTCACACTTGCCTTTTTTTTTTCTTTTGTGACACTATCTTTTCTTATGGTGAATATTTGTTTAACCTGTGTTGGAGGATATGCATCTTAATTCCTAGGGCATCGGAAATAGACTAGAGACCCATGGAATGTACACAAGGAATACGCTAGGGAATATGCCATGGAATATACACGTAATGTAAATAACTACCCTTGTTAGGGCCATGCAAGCGAGGAGCAGAATGAGGATTTTCCCTTCCCCCAATCTCTCTCTCTATCCATGGATGAACCCTGGGGGCAACACACTCTTTACACAAAAGCCGTTTTCACTCCTCGATCTCTTCCCTCACTTGGTTTCCTAAGACTAATGGTACCCGTACCCCGTTTGTTGTTTATGCAAAAATAATCTGTGCGTACCCTTTAAATTTCTGAGTGACTATTTGTCAATGTTACAGGTATCTGGCCAAGATCTTAGCACCTGAAGGTTCAAAAGATGTTCAGGTTGGACAGCCCATTGCTGTCACGGTATAGCTTCATTTCATTGAACCGTTCATTTCTATGTCTGAATCAACTGCTTATTTACACCATTGGCTTGTGTGCATTTTCTTTTTTAATTTGGCCATGAACTGTTTACTCATGCCATGTTCTTGCAAGCATAATGTCATACTAACTATCCACAATCCATTGGAAGGTTGAAGATCTTGAGGATATTAAAAATATACCTGCTGATGCTTCCTTTGGAGGTGAACAGAAAGAGCAGTCAATTGCAAGTGAAGCACAAAAGGTTGAAACGGATGCTGCAAAAGAGAGCTCGATAATAACCCGTATAAGCCCGGCAGCAAAATTGCTTATCAAGGAGCATCGTCTAGATCAGTCTGTACTGAATGCATCGGGTCCCCGTGGCACTCTTCTGAAAGGGGACGTTCTTGCTGCATTGAAGTTGGGTGCCTCCTCAAGTTCAACCAAGCAAAAGAATGCTCCAGCTGCACCATCATCTCAGCCAACTCATGATTTCCAAGCTCAATCAGTCACCATTCCACAACAAAATGATGCATACGAAGATATCCCCAACAGTCAGATACGCAAGGTATTCTTTGTTTCATTATTTTTATGATAACAGACATCATGAAATATCTAGTCACACTTTATGATATCTTGTGCATGTGAAGAAAAGCTAAAAGACTAAAAGCATGATCCAAGGCTGATCTAATGGAAATTAATTTCAGTTCATTAAGTCTAAAACGTCAAGAACAAATTTTCATACTACTAGGTTATTAATATATAATAGCATAGTTTGTCACATTTTGAGTTGTTAAAATGTTGAAATGGCCGTTAGGTCATTGACAGGCTTGCAATCACCTTCGTGAGGACATGGTTTTGCCCTTGCCCATGCCAAACTCTGCTTATCCCCCATCTACCTATAGAGATGTCTGTAGAGTGGTGTAAAGTTTTTTTTGAACAACTATGCATAACTGGTACAGCCACTGGTCACAAAAGCATGCCGTTTTAGATGTCGGCATTGTCTGAAAATGCAGCTTTGACCACTAATTTCTCTTGCCACATATTTGTAAAAGTTAAAAGGAAATAATAATATTTGGAAATTATGTTTTGAGACAATCTACATGTGATCGCCATATACATATATGCAATATAAATATCTAAGAACAAATTGATGTTTAAACTTTGAAAGTTTGATTGGAAGCATATCCCCAAAGACATTATTTTGACTATGGGAGTAATAACTAGAGATTGGCTTTGGCTTTGTGCTTTCAGGCGTCAATTTTATAGCCTTTTATCATTAATTCATTTTCTTTTCTTTTTCTCATAGTTGCCTTGTTGAGCCTTTAAGAAAATGAACTTGCTTAAGTTTGTGTTTATAGCATTACAATGCATAGTGAATGATGCATCTTCTATTCTTGTTCTCAGTGTCCAACAGGTTCTTTTTTATATTGTAGGTGATTGCAAAAAGGTTGCTTGAATCAAAGCAGACCACTCCACATTTATATTTATCACAAGGTGTGTATTCATCTAATGCACATTTTGCAATACCTTGGTTGTGCTGGCATAATTATACGTTACATTGTTGTCAGATGTTATACTGGATCCCTTGCTCGCTTTCAGGAATGAACTGAAAGGTGTGCTATTTATCTTCTTTAATTTGATATATGAAGATTGGTTAGCTAACCTGAAAAGGTTTTTTTTTCTTTCTCATGCTTTCTAATATTTCAGAGCAACATGGGGTTAAAGTTTCAGTAAATGACATTGTCATAAAGGCTGTTGCACTTGCCTTACGGAATGTACCAGAAGCAAATGGTAATTCTTATCTGAATTCATGCAAATGTGAAACTTGGTGGTTGTGTTACTATATCTTTGATTGTAATAGCAAGCATATCAGGTGCAAATCCTTGTTACCCTTCTTGCTGTACATTTAATGTCCACACTGATCTTGAACAAGTAATGACAGTTTTCAATCTGTTTGATCTTGGAGGGCTCATGCACCATCATCCGTAGTTATACTTCCAGCATTATTGTTTTTACATATGCTAGTGTCGATAATGTCACAAGATCCACAAGATCAAAGTCAGTGAACATGAATCATTCTCAAGTTGTTAGATGGCATGCGATGGAGATTTGCATGTTGGCACCGAGAAGGCGCACATGATACATCACCGTTGGAATACTATGAGCTATACTACTGGCAGTTCACAAATAACATGGTGGTACTGGTGGATATAGGCTAATTTTGTAACAGATTGGCAAAGGGTAGAAATACTATCACCTGACTACAATCATCTCAACCACTATTGATTTGCACCGCCCGACCAAACGGATGAATCCAACGATGTCATTGCATTGGAATGTTAGAAACTTAGAATTTTTGCTGCAAATGGACTAACTGAATATTCAATTTACACATAGTGGTTTAAGTCAACTTCTTTGTTTGGTCTAATGGATAGCTCATCATTATTCTTTTCTCATGAATTTCCAGCATACTGGAACAATGACAAGGAACAAGCCCAGAAGTGTGTTTCAGTTGATATATCTATCGCAGTTGCTACAGAGAAGGTATTGAAATTGAAAAGTACTGTTTATAATTTTTATTAGCCTATCCATGCACATTAACAATGACCTTTGCAACTTTAGGGCCTGATGACTCCTATTATAAGAAATGCAGATCAAAAGACTATATCAGCAATATCCTCAGAGGTATGAGAGAATGTTTAAAAGGTTCAACCTTACTGTCATAGTTTCAGAAGTTCTTTAGCATGAAATGTCACAGGCACATGTAACGCTTGTAATCAACTATCTTAAGACATGGTCTTGGAATGATTTAGAAATGTAAAATCTGTGGTCAACAGTTTTCATAGATACCTGACTGCTGGGACTTTCTTTGGAAAGTTGAGAACCATTTCTGGAAAGACCTGGGTTTTGTCTAGTGGAAGACAAAAGTCTTTGTATATGAAAGGCAGGACTATAAGTAGATAGTTGCATCTCGCTATCAGTTATCATATATTCCTGATTTTCGACCTTTAAAGTAGTCTTCATGTTTATGGTTATGAGATATAATCAGTTTTCCTTTCCCTATCACTGTAGGTTAAGCAGTTGGCTGAAAAGGCACGTGCTGGGAAGCTTGCTCCTAATGAATTTCAGGGAGGGACTTTCAGGCATGTGATATTTTACCCTTTTGTCATTGCTTTTGGGAAATCCTGTACTGCTGTTGATATTTGAATGTTTTGACATTGCTTCTGCAGCATCTCAAATTTGGGAATGTACCCAGTCGACCACTTCTGTGCAATCATCAATCCTCCTCAGGTTCCTACCTCCTATCCTTCGATGAAATGGGATCCTTGAATCTGTGCTGATAATTGTTACCGTCATTTTTCTCAGTCTGGAATTCTTGCTGTTGGGCGTGGTAATAAGATTATCGAGCCTGTGGTGGACAGTGATGGTACATTTCCTTGACCATGTGTAATTCCTTCTAAAAAACAAATGCTTTTGTATTTTAACTCATATTGATATGTCCACTTGTTCAGGAACCGAGAAGGCTACAGTGGTTACAAAAATGAGCTTGACATTGTCCGCTGACCATCGTGTATTTGATGGTCAAGTAGGAGGTACTGATATCCTTAGACCTGTAGTTTAAATGTTCAATTAGCCATCATTGTTTTCTCCTTTTATTTGTTTTAAACATAAGAGTAAATTTCACAAAACTACAGGTTTTGTTGTCCAAGTTGCAAAAAACCACACATACTTTGACACTTGGCGCTCAAGTACATATATTTTGGTAGTGTAGTTTCACAAAACCACAATATCAATGAATGGATTAACTCGTGATATGACGTGGCTGTTCCACTTAGGACAAGGACGTGGCATCCTATTACCAACCATCGCACGAAATTAATAGGATGCCTCGTCCTCATCCTAGGTAGAACAACCACGTCATCTCACAGGTGAATTCATTCATTGATAGTGTGGTTCTGTAATTACACTACCAAAATATATGTACTTGAATGCGAAGTGTCAAAATGTGTGTGGTTTTCTGCAACTTAGACTATAAAACATGTAGTTTTGTGAAATTTACTCTAAACATAATCACTGATTCCATCTCTTAATTCGTCTTTCCTTTTTGTTTTTCATGGGAAGCAGGCAAGTTTTTCACAGAGTTGTCACAGAATTTTGGTGACATTAGGAGACTGCTATTGTAAATGAAAGTTAGTACTAATCGTGCTTTCAAATATTCTGTTGGAAAAAGGTTGGCCAAGAAAAATCTTTCCCATGCAGCTCGGAGCTTGGTTGCTTCACCTCCAGCACGTACAAAAGTAACCAATTATTTTTTATTTTTTTAATAAGGTTAAATCTGCATTTCCAAGTTTTTTTTCTTAATTAATAATACTGGGATTAATGCCCCAAGAATTTTGCAGATACAGTGCCATTTCGTCTTTATGTGGCTGTGCAACATTTAATCCTTTATTAGATCCCGTTGTTTCATGAGTATTTCTAGCTGACGGAGCTCGCTCAACATTTTTTTTCAATGATTTCTGATACACATTGCAGCAATAAGAAAATGCTATATTTTTGAAGCATCATCATCACATTCTTTTCAGTATAGCTCCAGTCTTATAATTCTTGCGTTCTTTAGCTCTTTTATCGATTACCGAGCGATGGTTGGATTTGTACAATCATTATTTGGAAGTTTTACGCGTGCCAAATGCATCACGGTATTTCACGGGGTAATGAGAATAATATATGTTCCCATTTTGTCTTTTAGTTGGTTATTTTATTACTTTATCCGTTTCACAATGTAAGACTTTCTAGCATTGCACATATTTATTTAGATGTTAATGAATCTAGATATATATATGTGTGTTTGGATTCATTAACATCTATATGTATGTGTGCAATATTAGAAAGTTTTACATTGTGAAACGAAGGGAGTAGCAATTTCCAAGTGGTGGCGGAGCTCGGGCGATCACGCTTGGGAGGTTGCTCGGCCTGACAGTTAAATCTGGCATAAACGAATAGTATGCACCATTTATTCATCAATTAGAAGTTGATCTACATGATCTCTAGCAGATTTATAACTAAGGCTATGTTTGGATAATGGCTTAGTTTGGATAATGGGATGGGGAATCTTATCCCACCTTTTAGAAGGATAACTTTTAATCCTAGCCGTTCATTCTTTATATCTCGTTTCATCTCAACCCTTCACTCATATCACTATTTCAATCCCATCCCTCCTAACCTATTATCCAAATAGCGCCTAAGAGTTCATATCTATCGTCTATCTCAAAAGGTTGAGCTATCCGTGTTACTGTGGCTCAAAGCCCATGCATCCACATATCTATCGTCTATCTCAAGAGGTTGAGCTATCCGTGTCACTGTGGCTCAAAGCCCATGCATCTAGAAAAAAAATTAAAAATTTACTTTTTTTTCTTTCAATTTACAGAAATATACTTGCATGACACATATTTGCGAAAATATACCTCATCCGCATATTAGGTTAGCGGGAGCGGTACGGTAGGCACGGTCGCGCGAAGTGGGGATGCGGGATCGAGCCGGTCTCGCACGGCAGTTGTGCGGAAGCGATGCAGCCCGCGGAACGGGTATGTGGGAGCGGCTGGGATGCGGGAGCACCTCGGGAGCGGCACGGTCCCGTTGAACGGGCGTGCGGGAGCGGCACGGTCCCGCGGAACGAGCGTGCTGGAGCGGCTCGGTTCCACTTTTTTTTACTGTATCAGTACTGTTTGGCATTGTTCAAACAGCGGTACTGCGGATCCAATGTGCGGAACCGGCTCCTGAACAGTGTCGAAACAGTGCAGAACAGTATCGAAACAGTGTCAAACCGTGCTATATGCATGCATGTGCAGCTTGGCTGCTGGGTCACGCGTGGCCGGCCTGCGTGACCGCGCGGTGCCGCGCGGCCGGTCCGCGGGACCGACGCGGTACCATGCGTCCGTGCTGCGGAATCACCGGTCCCGTGGAACGGTAGTGCGGGACCGCCTGCGGATTAGGTATATTTGTGTAAATTTTCGCCACATAGGTATATAAACGCAAAATAATAAAAAAAGAGGTATATTTTCAATTTTTTCTCCATGCATCTACGAGTATTTAAAAGGAATGGAACAGAGTGAACGAGATGTGTGCAGAATTAACAAGAAAAATCTTCACCTCCTGATCTCATTCTGATATTCTTAAAACAATCATCTACTCCCTCCGTTCCAAAATATAAGCATTTTTAGCATAGTAACAAGTCAAACTTTTTAACTTTAACTATTGATAGCAAAAGAATAAAAAAGATCAATCATGTAAATTAATGTTACTAGATTTATCATTAAACAAACTACCATAATATGCAATTCTTTTTATTTGAAACACCTCATTTTTATAAATATTGTTGGTCAAAGTAGCATCTCGAAGACCGTGTCAAAGTCTAAAAATGCTTATATTTTAGAACGGCGGGAATAATTAAAGTAATCCCATGATAGCACAAGTTGATTAGCAAACCCTACTAAGAGCATCTTCAAAAGACTATTCAAATTGGACTCTCCAAACATCCACGTAGCTAACTATCCAAATGATCTTTTCACGAAATACTAGACCATGAGTGACAATGTACCCAATCTAGGAGCTTTATCAACCGTCAAAAACAGGGGAGTTCCCTAGCCCATTATATAACTAGATCAATGTGATGCCAGCTATTTATTTAACTCCGTTGGCACAAAATTATCGTAAGGATCGGTTTTTTAGGGACACAATTGACAAAAAAAAAATAGCAATACAACCCGAGTCTCTCTGAGATAGAGCCCAAATCGTTACACCTTTTGTGTGGGTCAGAACTTACCCGACAAGGAATTTCGCTACTTTAGGACCGCCGTTCAATCGCCGACTTTCCTGTTACCAGTTCTTTAACTTTCTTAACTTTTCGGTACTGGGCAAGTATCAGTTTCCATTCATGATCTTGCGACTTTGCAGAGACATATGTTTTTTTTTAGGTAAACAGCCACCCATTCCTCGAGTCTACTTCACAGTTACTCTGAAGAGACTCGAAGAGCCGACAGAAACACATGGTTGCAACTTGCAAAGACCAAATCGAGTGCCCATCTAGACAGACATCCAAAATCCGGACATGGCGATTTGGTGAGGGGAACTTTCCCAGATCCCAAATCTTACCAAGTGAAAAGAGAATTTGACCATAGAAGCAGGAAGAGCCACGTCATTTGGTGCATGATGGTCATCCGATTGAAAAGCAGACAAAACGAATCAGAACCGTATGATCATGCTGATCAGTAAAAATATTTGTATAAAAACCCATATATTCTCACATATTTACATTGAACACCTTACATCTTATTTCTTAATACATTACATTATTGTCTCCCCTATCATTATTTATAACTGTACTACGGAGCTGAGAAGAAAACTCACATGCCTATTTATCCTAAAATAAGTTCAAATTTAATTTATAGGTTCGTTTATCCCATTAATTTTTAGCATACATGCTATTATAAATGATGCATTACAACGTTTCACGTAAAAAGCCAGCCACAATCATTTCCGTTACTTCTTTTGAAATGTCCACCAGACAAACATGTTTCTTTTTTTTTAGAACTACAAATATGTTTCTTAAAACTTCTTTTAAAATTTATTATCAGTAGCACATTATAGGATGGTTAAAATCGCGCGAATGTGTGACTTCATAAGCTAGTAAATTGGATAAAACCTAAATATTATGTGGCTCAACCAACTCCTGTGGTCAACTACACACCCCATCAAAAAAAAGATAGATAGATTGACTGGTAAACAAGTGAATGAATGATTAGATGGCCTATGGGTTGAGCCCTACAACAGATTAGCCTACCATTCTCACAATATCGGAGAAAATTAAAGAGAGGGTGGATTCTGACACTTTTCGAGGTGACGTGCTCGCTTCCGCGTGTGTCCATGTCGCCCCGCTTCCTCCCTGAGTCTGGGATGGTTGTCGGCCCAGCTACTGCCATTCCTGCGCTTTTGCCGCGCCTTCTCCCGCTTTTCTCGCCGTCGCACTCCATTGTGTTGCCGCCCTCGTCCGCCACTATCGCCCGCCGCTGGCCTCGTCCGTCGCCGTGCCACCGCCACTGGCCTCGTCCGCCATGGCTACCGTCGCACTCCACTAAGTCGCCATCCTCGTCCGTTACCGCCGTCGTCGCCCTCATCCGTCGCCGCGGCACCGCCGCTGGCCTCGTACGTCATGGCTACTGTCGCACTCCACTGAGTCGCCATTCTCGTCGGTCGTCGCCGCCGCCGCCGGCCTAGTCCGCCATGGGCGCCGTCGCACTCCATAGGGTCACCGCCACCCTCGTCTGCCACGGCTGTCGTCTTCGTCGCGCTCTACCAGTTCGTCGCCCTCGTCCGCCATAGTTGTCGTCGCCTACATCCGTCGTGGCCACCACCGCCCTAGTCCCTTGCCATTGCCGTCGCCCTCTTCCACGGTCGCTGTGTTCCTCGTCCACCCTGGTCGCCTATGTCCGCCTTGACCGCGGCCCCTATCCACCGCGGCCGCTGCCGGCGCGTTCTTCCGCCACAGCTCATCCACCGCGTGCATGCACCGCTGCCATCGTCCTCTTCCGCCGTAGCTGCTGTCCACCTTCGCAGCTACCGCCGTTGTTGTCCACTGCATCCAATCCATATCGGAAGAGAAGAAGTAAGAGGAAGGAGAGAGGAAGACATGGAAAGATGATGTGTCCATAAAAGATAAAATATTTGTGGTACAGTAATTTCTATTATATAGACATTAGGTAAAACGTTTACTATAGATGATATGGCTATTTTTTTTAAGTCAATATTATTAACCTTGCTCTATGGTATAGATGGCCTTTTGGCCCGCACGGCCCACCAGCCATCGGGCCGGCACGGCCCGATCGGCACTTCGTGCCGAGCCGTGCCGACCCATGGGCTGCGCCTCCCGCCCAGGCACGGCCCACCAGCCGTCGGGCCGTGCCGGGCCGGCCCGAAGGCGGGAGTGGCCCATCGTGCCTTTTTTATATAAGTCTATTTTCCTTCCCTCCTCTTTGGACTGTGACATATATATAGCGAAAATAAGTCTATTTTCCGTCCCTCTTCTTTGGACTGTGGCATATATATATATAGTGAAAATAAGTCTATTTTCTGTCCCTCCTCTTTGGGCTAACATATATATATATAGCTAAAATAAGTCTATTTTACGTCCCTATTCTTTCGACCATGACATATAATATGTCTATTTTTAGTCCCTATTGTTTATGTGTCGGGCCTAGCCTGCGGCCCATCGTGCCGTGCCGGCCCAACGTGCCGGTGGAGAGGCCCAGGCACGGCCCGGTGGCCGTGCTTGGGCCGGGCCAAAACACCGTGCCGTCGGCCGGGCCATCGGGCCTCGGGCATTTTGGCCATCTATACTCTATGGTGTGTTTCACTCTCCCTTGCTTCAGGGGCAGCACCACGCCGTCCGACCTGTACCAAAATGGAGTAGGCCACTGACTAGTGTGGGGCGAGAAAATCTCTTGTGTGCCCATGAAAACTCACATAATCCCTTCTATACCCTCGAATTTTACCCAATCCCCTGTGTACCCCTGAAATTTCGCTTTGATCCCTTCCATGCCCCTCCCGTTAGGTTTCCTTCATTTTCACGTTATGTGTGGTTCCAAATGTCTAAAATACCCTTGTAGATGGAGGAGTGGCAGCTAGATAGAAAAAATTGAAAAAAATGTCAACTGAACAATATGTGTATTTTATGAGACTAAATAATGAGCGTATAACAAATTTATTGTGGCACTGAAAAAAATACAATATAATGAACTTTTTGTTTGGAAAAATAATAGGATCAGGAAAAGCTGACTGTCTGTACAGTTATCAGTTTTCTCTATAGAAGAAATTGGTTCCTCTGCATAAGAAATTGATTATGGTAAAATAAGAGCATGAATACCATCATACATAACAATAGAGATATCCATACAGAACACACAATATCATGCACAGAACATAATCTTTCCATCATCCATACATAACAGTTCATATCATGCGCACCCACAATTCCATTTCCATACTCAATAGTGCAGGAAACAAACCAACTTTCCATTTCAAACAAAATAGTGCAACCAACAAACCAAATTAGCTAGGCAGTATATCATGAGCATAATGGCATAAGGTCCATAACAGTGCATCAATACATCATGAGGAAGCAATCCTTACAATAGCAAAATATGTCAACTATGACTAGACCACTTTGTACGGCATCACAATAACAAAATCCATCAATAAAGTCTTTGTAGCACATCGCATTTGAGTCTATCACTTTACTGAAAATAAACCAATCATATTCCACCCTAGCATTTTTTCGATCCCCGGCTAGTTTGATTTCCAACAAATATGTAGTTAAGGGGTCCATCCTGTGGATGAACACAATAGTATGTATCTATCAATGTATGTATCTATCAACCAAAATGATCTCCACGCATACAACTATGTCAAAATTATGAACGACGGAAAGTTAAGTCACTTACCCTACGGGGAGCCATGAAGGAACCGTGCTAAGCATTGAATCTGCCATGCCAAGTTGATGTGTTGCAGAGAAGGGATGGTGGCCTCCACTGCTCCGCTTTCACTTTCTTACTTTTTGGTCACCTTTGCTGGTCAAAACATAAGACTATAAATGCATAAATATTAAATGCAACCAAAGTGTGGGCATAATGATTAAGCTTTGTTGAGTCCATCAAGCATATGGAAAATTTTGTAAAGTCTCCACTGGACAAATACTAGTACACTGGACAAATATTAGTAGAGATCTCATACTAATAAGGCAGGAAAGAGTGATGTAATGCATTTATGTGCATGGTGAGATCTTGGAACTTATAGATCAATTTTTTCTAATCAAACCCCTTATCCTTCCAGAGGCATTTGCAATGGCAAGAAAATATACCTAGGTTATATGCAAAAACAAGAAAATCAGTGTTAACCTGTATTGGGGATGGGAGAATGGGAGCTGGGAGGGCGGCCGACTTTGGCGCACACGACGGGAGGGAGGTGGCCGGCGACGCCCGCGCGGCGGGAGGGGCGGTGGCCGGCGGCCCGCGCGGCGGGAGGGGCGGTGGCCGCCGGCGGCCCGCGCGGCGGGAGCGGCCGTGGCCGGCTGCCCACGCGGAGGGAGGGGCCGTGGCCGGCAGCCCGCGCGGCGGGGCGACGCCCGCGCAGTGGGAGGGCGGTGGCCGGCGCCCCGCGCGGCGTGACGGCGGCTGGACGACGGCGCGTGGCCGGAGGGCGGCGGGAGGATGCGTCGACGGCGCCCACGGTCGGACGACGCCGGGACGACGGCTCGCGTGGCGGGAAGGCGGCGGGACGGCGGCGCAGTGGCCGGAGGGCGGCGGGACGGCGGCGCAGGACTGCAGCCCGGCGGCGCGCAGAGGCCGCTCACGTGGAGAGATGCGGGAGAAGGAAAGGGGATCGAAACTAGTTAGGGTTGGAAGGGGCATTTTAGTATTTCCTAAAAATACTGACAATACAACACACGGTTTGATTAACATATCTAACGGAAACCTGACGGGAGGGGCATGGGAGGAATCAAAGCGAAATTTCAAGGGTAGGGATTGGGTAAAATTCGAGGGTATAGAAAGGATTAGGTGAGTTTTCATGGGCACACAAGGGATTTTCTCGTAGTCGAAAGCCGTGTGATGTTGTTTCCAGCTGCAAGTCAAATCCGATACTACTATTCACAAAGCTGATAGTTCCCCTTCTTCCTCCCTGTGCTTTTCCCCTTTCCTTTCTCTGATTTCTCTCAAATGAATTACTGTTACCAGTTGGTGTGATTCTCCAGCCGAAACTTCACCAACCAAGCAGGAATGGCGCTCCTGCTGCCGGAGTTCGACCCGGCGGACGTCCGCGCCGGCCGCGACCTCATCCACCGCCTCACCGCCGACGCCGCCGGCATCCAGCGGGGCGTCCTCCGCGAGATCCTCTCCCGGAACTCCGGCACCGAGTACCTCCGCCGCTTCCTGGGCGGCGCCGCCGGCGACGACGACGACGTGCGAGACGCATTCAAGAGGCGCGTCCCCGTGTCCGGCTACGAGGATGTCAAGCCGTACGTCGACCGCGTCGCGTCCGGCGGCGAGCCCTCCTCTGCCCTCCTCTGCTCCGACCCCATCACCTGCCTCAGCAGGAGGTAAAATTTCCGCAAATCGGGGGCGGCGTTGCTCCGAGTTGGGATAAACCCTAGCTCTTTGCCCTCACTCACGGTACCATCTAATTTCAATGCGAACGGCGGCAGCTCCGGCACGTCCGGCGGGCAGCAGAAGCTGTTGCCGTCCACCGCGGAGGAGCTCGACAGGAAGGTATTCTTCTATGCTGTCCAGGCGCTCGTGAGGAACATGTAAGAGCATGACTGGTGTGGTGCTTTGCTCATCATTAATCAACTGGCATATTCTTGAATTTCTGTAGCAATTAACTTGCTCAATTAATATACTATATTTTTTGCATTTCTACTAGGAGCTTGCACACCGATCATGGTGAAGACGACGACGGCGGTGGTGGCGAGGGAATGTACCTCATGTTCGCCTTCCACGGTGACCGGACATTGTCTGGCCTGCCCATCCAGTCTGCTCTAACTACCTACTACCACAGCAGACAGTTTCAGGAATGCGACATTGGCGGGTTTGATAAGTGCACAAGCCCCCTGGAGGCAATCCTCTGCCCCTATGGCGAGCAGAGCATGTACTGCCAGTTGCTCTGTGGCCTACTTCACCGATGCAGAGTGGACCGTGTTGGTGCCAGCTTTGCCGCTGGGTTGGTTCGGGGGATCAAGTTCTTGGAAAATCACTGGGAGGAGATGTGCTTCAACATCCGGAGCGGGCAGCTCAGCGACTGGATCACGCATACTCCTCTGCGTGATGCGGTCACTGGACAGTATCTTCAAGGATCTAACCCAGCTTTAGCCGATGAGATTGCATCCGAGTGTGCGAGGAAACCTTGGGATGGGATAGTCAGGAGGCTATGGCCTAGGGCACGGTATATCCGGACCATTGTGACTGGTTCAATGTCACAGTACATTCCAATTCTTGAGGTTTATGGTGGCGGGCTACCGTTGGTCTCACCAATCTATGCATCTACAGAATGCGCTGCCGGGATAAATCTGAGGCCACTTGATCCACCATCCCATGTGTCATATGCATTGCTTCCAAACATTGCTTACTTTGAGTTCTTGGAGGTCATGGATGAAAATGGTGAAAAGGTACAAGGAACTACCAGGCTTGATGACAATTTGGGTGAGGTAAAAGTTGTTGACCTTGTGGATGTCAAAGTTGGTCGATGCTATGAGTTGATTGTCACTACCTTTGCAGGCAAGCTGTTGGGCTACTTTTTATCCCTTTTTTTTCAGACATGGCTAGGTTTATCTTATATCTGATCATTGAAAGCTCTCATCGATTTCTTGTAGCTATGCTTGCAATCATAATTTGTGTTTCATCGCATTTTTCAAAATCAGTTCTCTCCAATGTTAGGTAAATTTATTGATATCTGGATAAGCATCTTTCAAGACCCATGACACCTATTTAAGTCCTCAATTAGCTTGTGAATGAGAAGTCCGAAATTTTATATCCTGTTATATCAGCTACTATACGTTTATTATATTCAGGACACACATTTAGTGGAACAATGCAAATTTCGAATAATTACTTCAGATCCCATGGAAAAGGCAAAACCTACCATTTTTTTACGAAATAGCATAATGTCTGCTATTAACTTCATTAATGGAGGAGCATACAAAAACAAGGTTTAAAGTTACAAGAAAAAGATAGCACTTGAAAGTTGAAAACTCAATCATAAGTAGAATGGACCAAGAAAACCTTAGAGCAAGATTCTCCATTAACAGTAGAGCACCATATGAGATTGTTTTTTTTTTTCTTTGTTAATTGTTTCCCCCTCAAGTTCCATTACTTATATGTAGTCCTAATGGTCTATTAATTGGATTTTGCTTGTGTCATCCTGGCTTTGTTTTGCTTGTATGATATCCTATATTTGTAAGACAAATTTTGCTACAGGACACTCAAAGTTTGTGTAATTTGCTGGTGGACATCGTAAAAACGTGCCACCGTTGAAGAACACCCTAAAAAACTAGTAATTTGTTAGATGACATTTCCAGTCTAATTGGGGAGAAAACTCTTCAAGAAGACGAGAATGCCCATACGGCCACAAGCTTCTAACCTGTTGTTGGAGTGAAAATTTGGAAATTATACAACTCTCAATATCCAATCATCCCAAGTATATTCCAAGCATATCTCATATTTCATCTTCACTCTAGCGCTAGGTTACAGGCTTGTGGCTCCAGGGGCATTCTCATCATTTTTCTCTCCAATTGGGCTAGAAATGTCCTTGTGGCAAATTACCAGTTTTTTGGAGTGTCGTCTAGCTGTGACACGTTTTTGTGATGTCCACCAGCAAATTACACAAACCTGTCCTGTAGCAAAATTATTGAACAAGGGTAGATTCCAACATTTTAGAAAAATAGGATTCTGAATCAGCCCAGGTAAACAACATCCTGTATTTTGACTTTGTGACTTGTGCATTTATAATAGGTCTTTACAGGTACCGGGTGGGTGACCTGTTTACTGTGAGTGGCTTCTACAATGCGACGCCATTGTTTCACTTCTCAGGACGGCATGATGTCATCCTAAGCATAGATTACGAGAAGATAAGTGAGGAGGACCTTCTCAATGCCATTGCAGAAACAGATAAGTTCCACCTCAGGCCTCTTGGCTACATGCTTGTTGGTAGCACTGCATATGCAGACATATCCACTTTGCCTGGCCACTATATCCTTTTCTGGGAGCTGACCAATACCTGTGATAGCAATGTTGCCATTGACATCGACCAAACTGCCATGGAGAAGTGTTGCTTGGCAGTGGAAGACCACTTCGATGAAATGTACCGCAAAATTAGGCACCGTGGCTCAATCAGTGCGCTCGAGATAAGGATTCTTAGCCATGGTGCGTTTGATGCTCTGATGGACTTCTTTGTGTCTAGAGGGACATCAGCGAGTCAATACAAAACTCCGACAGCCATTCGGTCGAAAGAGGCGATGATGGTATTGGAGGAAAGGGTTGTAGGAAGGTTTTTCAGCCAAGCAACTCCCAGCTGTCGTTCAGCCGAATTTGAGAGGAGATAATAATTGTACTGCCTGTTCGGTTGGCGTCTCGGTGACAGGAGAGGGCATGTTCCTTATGAAAAGTTCAGTCCTGATCACGAATAAGTGGCGCAGCATTGCAATTCGTGCACTGGAGAAGGATGATCCACTCATCTCCATCTTGGCACGTCCTTTTTCAGTCTGGAATTTGGTCTCAGGAGTATCATTTCGTGTTTTCTTGTAAATTCAGAAAGAACTTCTGTACTGCTCCTTCCACATAGCCTTTGGGCGTAACTGTAGACACAACCCTTGCTCCGAGGTTTATAAGTTACCTCCGAATTTACTGATTGACTGTGTTCTCAAGTCCAAGTTTCCAACCTCACTATCTCGTTTATCTCGTTTACTGTGCGCACGCTTTTCAAACTGTTTAACGGTACGTGTTTTGCAAAAATTTTCTATAGAAAAGTTGCTTTAAAAAACCGTATTAATCTATTTTTAAAGTTTTTTAAGATAATAATTAATTAATCATGTATTAATCTATTGCTCCGTTTTGGCCGTTAAGCTTTGCAGCAAAAATGTGTTACTTACGTTCCTGCAAATTTTCGTATGAACTTGTTTTGCCAACTTCATATTAGAAAGAGAGATCCATTCCTTTTTTTAAGGAAGAACAAAAGGCTGTTTTTTTCCTTCGCTATATTACTACCTTTTGTGATCAAAATTATTTATGGCACGTACATTTGCTTCGCCTCATTAGCATATGCAACAATCCACATATACAAGCTTTTTAAACAGGCATACAAAGTCGTGCAAAGCGCGACTATTTGGCTAGTATACAGTTGGAAGTAAAAGAGAAAAAAAAGGGCATCGCTTATGTGCTGCGGGGAAAAAAATGAATATTGTCCTGGTAGAGACTAACTTATTGGATCCTTTCTGCAGCCAATACACCATTTCTGCTGAACCCGACATAAACACGATGGACGTGAGAAATCACCGTCTCTGTCTTCTGTCGGACCCTGCCCACAAGCTCTTCTGCAGCACGGTCCAGAGTGAGCTCCTCAAGAGTCCTGACATGTTCGATACCGTAGGGCAACTGCTTCAGGTTTGGACAGACCAAGAGCTTGAGGTCAGTTAGGCTTGCCACAGCTCCTCTTTTCATCTCGATTTCATTCAGGTGTGGTGCACCTCGTATACTGAGCTCCCTGAGCCTGGGAAATGAGTTCTCATGGAAGTATATGTTCTTCCCATCATAAGCATCATAGAGTTGTAGCTTCACCAAATGTGGTAACCTCTCAAGATTAAGGAATGTATCTCTGTCAAGCCTTGATCCCACAAGACGCAGAGACCCGAGGTTATTCAGATTACTCAGTGACATGAAGTGACATGAAGTGAGGCAGTGATTCCTGAGACAATGTACCTTTCAAGTACAGCTTCTGAAGTAATGGAGGGGGTCGAAGTGCTTCAAGATTCAACACTTCTTGGCTGCTATCTGCCTGGATCCCGAGTCGGGTAAGATGAATCATATTGGTGATGGCCAAGAACAGATGTTCACAGTGGCAACAGATATTGCTTGAAATGACAGAAGGCGCCCAATGCATACGATCGCAATTGGCAAGCCATGGCACTTGTCAACAAAATTTTGTGCCAATTGGAGCAATTCTGGTGGACAATCCCTATTTCCATTCTTCCAGAATGCCTCTTTACAGAACAAATCCCATGCATGGGACTTTACCAATGGCTGCAAATTAATTATGTTCGTCTCAGGTGCAAGCAATGCCACATCATAATTCCTTGATGTAAGAATTATTCGTCCAATAATATTGGCACCACCAAATGCATCCTTGCTATCAAACCAAACATTCGTACTCCACACATCATCTAGAACAAGGACATACCTTTTGTTCTCAAGGTAAGAGCGAATCGTCTCGACTAGCCTTCTGTAGCTTGATGCACCTTCGTCATCTGGGAAATCTTTCTTCCGGTCGTTCTTGCGAAACTCTTGAACAGTTGTTCTTAGCAGATCATCCGCGTCATAGCTCTGTGACACGGTGATCCAAGCACAGGTGTCAAAGTCATCCTTGACAGCATTGTAAACATTTGCAACCAGTGCCGTCTTGCCGATTCCGCCCATCCCCCACACACTGACTATCCTGTGCCGCTGCTGCTGCTCATCTTGCACCCATCTCATCAGCAAATCTCTGTTCTTGTCAACACCAACGAGGTCATCATCCCTCTTGAAGTGCACGGAGTCTGATCTCCAGTTTGAGTTTGAGCTGCTTCCCACCACCGACTTCACGCCTCTCACGACGACGCCCTTCAGATCATACCTAATCCTCCTCTCGGCAGCGCTTTTCAGGCTGACCTTGATGTCCTGCAGGTTTGCGGCCAAGCGAGACCATGTGCCGATCTTGCACATCCGCTTGAATGGCATCCTTCCACCTCCTTCGCCGAGCTGGTAGGTGAACTCGTCGACGGCATCCTCGATGCCGAAGGCGAGCCTCCTGATTTGCTTCACGAACGCGGAGGTCGTCTCGTCGGCGTCCTTGAACCGCTCGGCCGCCTGCAAGAAGGCACGGATGCTCTCCAGCTCCCCCTTCACATCCCGGATCTCAGAGAAGAGGCGCTTCAGAGCTGATCCCTCCAGCCCGAGCAACGACTTCGCGAGCTCCACTGCTTCACTCGCCAGGGTATTCCCAAGTTTGACGATTAGTGAGCCCACAACACCCTCCGCCATGGCTTAGCTAGCTTGAGCTAAGCTATCGTTGGGAGTTGAACACACATTTCTTCAGTGTTTCTTCCTGCGGTTGGTAGCTAACTCATCTTGATCCCTTGTGTTTTTTTTTTCCAAGAGGAACAACCGAACAAGCTCAGTTGCTCACTGCTTTATAAAATAATCCATCTCTCCCAAAATAAATCAACCTAGTATGGGATGTGACCCATTTTAAAACAACGAATCTGAACAACCTAGAATAGGTTGAGTTATTTTGAGACGGAGGGAGTAAGGCTGAGTTGGACAGCGCTGGTTTCGGACCGTGCAAGGGCCGGTTTAGTTTCCAAACATGATTTTTCACGCTATCACATCGAATGTTTTGGCACATGTCTGAGGTATTAAATGTAGAAAAAAAACAATTACGCAGTTTGACAGGAAATCGCGAGACGAATCTTTTAGGCCTAATTGCGCCATAATTTAACAATGTTGTGGTACAATAAACATTTGCTAATGACGGATTAATTAGGCTTCATAAATTCATCTTGCGATTTCCTGGCAGAATCTGTAATTTGTTTTGTTATTAAACTATGTTTAATATTTTAAATGTGTATTTGTATATCCGATCTGACATGTATTGGTAAATTCTTTTGCCAAACTAAACAGGTCCTAATTGAGGTTGGTGTCGCGTAAAGAAAAAAAAGGTTGGTGACCCGTGTGCACTTTCATGTACTGTAGAATCATTACTGTAGATGTCGGACGGAAGGTACACCGCGCACGCATGGCGCCGTTTGGTCAGCAGACAATTTCCAAGGCTCACCTATTTTATAATAAGGTAAAACAGTTTATTAGAAAAAAAATTATTTTATTGATAAAACTTTTATATATTTATTCATAGCAACTTAAAGGTTAACGTTAAAAAAATTATGTTAAAAATATCTAACGATCAACTTTAAAATCAAATTTTAGCTTTTTTTTTCTGGTTTATTAGACCAAGGTGGTGTTTAGATCCAGTGACTTAACTTTAGGCCCTGTATTTAGACACTAATTTAGAGTATTAAATATAGACTACTTACAAAACTAATTACATAAATAAAAGTTAATTCGCGAGACAAACTTTTTAAGCCTAATTAATCCATAATTAGAGAATGTTTACTGTAGCATCACATAGACTAATCATGGATTAATTAGGCTCAAAAGATTCGTCTCGCAAATTAGTCCAAGATTATGGATAGGTTTTATTAATAGTCTATGTTTAATATTTATAATTAGTGTCTAAACATCCGATGTGATAGGGACTTCCATCCAAATAGGGTCCAACTGATGGGATCTCCCGTCAAGATGCGAAGGAGCCTTGAAGAAGATGGCGCCATTGTTCTACCATCGCAAAGCACATGGAATCAGCTAGTTACAAAAATGCCTACGATTACTAAGGCTGGGTTCGTTGAAATGGGTTGGGAACCCATCTCCTGTGCATGGAAAACGAAGCAGTCCATTAGCACGTGATTAATTAAGTATTAGCTATTTTTTTAAAAAATATGATTTTTAAGCAACTTTCGTATAGAAACTTTTTTATAAAAAACGCATCGTTTAGCAGTTTGGAAAGCATGCGTGCGGAAAACGAGTCGGAGGGAGTTGGGAACTACTCTCTCCGTCCCAAAAAAAAACTCAACTTCCAGAGTTTGGGGCTGATTGGTACAGCACTAATCTCGAGACGCAAGCCGCCATAACAAGTTTTACCTCTTGTTGAAGATCGAAACCGATGCAGCTCAACCCGAAAGCAAGAACTCGTTGAAGCAAAACGAAAGTAAAAGGGTGGCGATGCGCCGAGATTGTATTGAACGTGTATTAGTTTGATTACATGGGGCTCTGGTCTATTTATACCCGAGAATTACAAAATATGTCCATATCGGATACGACTCTTATCTCTAACAAACTCTAAGATACCATAAGTCTTTGCGGCAGACTTTTACCCAAACATATCTCTAAGTAAATTACATAAAATATCCTAATCAATAGATACAATTGCCTTCTTAGGACTCTATCCATGCGTGGCAATCATCATGAAGCACGTTAACCTAACCCGACAACATATGCCGTGTCATATTGTCGGATTCGGCTCAATCGGCTAACCCTGTCCGACTCGAACTATGCCGATCTTAGTCGTAGCCGATTCGAACTTCAGCCGATCCTCACTCTGTTTCCGGGACAATCTCTATCTCGAACTCCGTCTCGATTCCTCCTCCACATCCGATTCTTGGATTACCAAATTTGGTCGTTAACACACATCCCTTGAAAGTTGGAGCAAATGTTTGGAGATAGTGTTCTCCAAAATCAGCATGACGTAAATGGTCGTCGTTTTTATGTAACCCATCATCACTTTGATCTTCTAGCTCGTCGTCAATGCCCAACAAGTCTTGTGCATGTGTAGACCTAAGTAATAACAAAGTTCTTGATTTATGTAGTATATAATTGTCGTCAATATTGAAATATGTTTCAGCTAGGAGCAAGTTCACCTCTTGTTGTAGTTTATTTGCACGGCTACATGTGATTGGTCCTTGAAATGGTGTACGGATTGTCTCTCATTAGCGGCTATGTCAGATGATTGTCTTGTGTGTTCATGTGACGGGGGCTGGGGCATATCATAATGTTATAATATTTTTTTAAATAATTTCACATGATAAAAAGGATCAACTTGGTACCGCTTGACAAATATATAACACTAATTCAAATCTACATGCAGGGAGAAACATGTGATCATCGGTTTTACTTATTATTTAGAAAAAGTCAGAAAAATAAAGTCCCCAATACCTCGCCCTTCCCAGAGCATGCACACAACACTGAATGAAGTCCCCTTTGGCTCAGGATCTTCACACTCCACTCCTCCCCTCTTCCTACCTTTTATCTATCAAATTAAAAGACAAACTATGAATAATATTGAAAAACCCATATTTTTAAGCTATACATCTAATTTCTAATCTAATTGTTGCTCTATTAAATAATTAAACCAACAATTCATGATCCATAATGGAACATAAAATAAAATAAGAGTTGTATGAAGTAAATTAGAAAAATAGAAAAATGTCAATATGGATTGAATTAAATCAATTGGGCAGAATACAATAAATTTGTAAAAAATAGTTATTACTTTTCACAAATTGGAACAACCAAAGTGTATGTTCCATTGCCATAACCATGTTTAAGTGATTAGATGTTAATGACCTTCCATCTATGCTATATATCATGGCATTATGAGTTTCTCAATGTATTATTGCATATATAAAACACATAATTGGTTAAAAACTCATATATGATACTATTAACTTTAAATTTAGGACTCATGTTGACTAGGTCTTTTTTTAGAAAAAACACTATAGATCACATATAATAGGGAAGCGAGTTGCACAATATGTATGTCTCCTACGAATTTATTGACAAGTTTTTTTTCTAGAAATTGAAGAATTACTGATAATTGTTTATAGTAATAAATTAAATATTATATAGTTCAAACCTTACAAATATCATGTAAAATAATATCTGAGCAATGTAGATGGAGAAAATTTATAAAGAAATAGTACTTTTTCAAGCATGAAATGTGTCATCTAGTCGATATTCCATCTTACAAGTTAGTCAAGCTTATCCGACTTTACATTTCGCGTGTGCTATCTTTCTAGTTAATCTTAACATATATATGTGCACCATTCGTAAGTCATAATTGAAATCCTAAAATCACGTTATTGTGCTTCCTCTCAATTGTAATATTAAGAATCAACGTGCTCGTTAAAGATGCAATGGAAATGGTTTAAAATTTCATGTTCAAAATTTTCAAACCATACACGATGACTTTAAAACGATGGCAATTCATTTCGACGGCTAGGGGTGCCTGTGATTTTGGTGGTGTTTGAATCCCGAGACTAAATTTTAGCCCCGGTCGCATCGGATGTTTGGACACTAATTAGAAGCATTAAACATCGATTAATGACAAAACCCATTTCATAACCTGGACTAATTCACGAGACGAATCTATTGAGCCTAATTAATCCATGATTAGCATATGTGGTGCTAAAGTAAACATGTGCTAAAAAAACTAATTGCACAGTTTGCATGTAAATTGCGAGACGGATCTTTTAAGCCTAATTACGCTATGATTTGATAATATGGTACTACAGTAAACATTTGCTTATGACGGATTAATTAGGCTTAATAGATTCGTCTCGCAGTTTTACATGTGGAATCTATAATTTGTTTTGTTATTAGTCTATATTTAATACTTCAAATGTGTGTCCTTATACATGAAAACGAAATTTGAAAAGCAACTAAACATGGCCTTTCTCTGAGAACAGAGGATAAGCCTCCTCTACAACTGACGAGACAATACGAGAGGTGAGTATATAAAGTACTGAACAAGTGTACGGAACAATCCACTATATGATAGAACAAAGAAAGGCTAAGGATCATTTTGCATAAATTGCATTTTATTACTACAAACTTATAATACGAGGGCAGTAAAAATAGAATTTAAATACCAGAAAGTAAATACATAAACGAAGTTATGAAATTTAGATAAAATCCAACAAACCCAACATATTAATTTATCCTGCACACACAGATCACTCCCAAAAAAAAAATTCACAAATCTATCTCTCATGTGAAATCCTGAGTATGTCCATAACCGAAGACGCGGCTATTCGAATGGATTGACGCCCTACAGAGGTTATACAACTTTATCTACATGATACAGTTTGGTGCCACTAAACACCTAAGAGTAAAAATTCCGCTACCTCACCCTAAACACTGGCTTCTCTCACGGACGGTCCAGTTTTTGAAACATCGGTATACCTCGTGGTAACCGCACAGTTTTCACAATAACCGTGAAACCGTGGGCTGGCGGTAACCCTCCCAAAAATGGTCTGGAGAACCTTGCTTGGCATGCGCTTATGTTTCGTTGTTGATGATCAACGAATGATTAAATTCATGGTGGATGAAAAGAGTAAATAATATGGGATTAAAAGGCCGATGCTGGCATTGATCGGGAGATGTAAAGACTGATGATTGATTTGCTCTCACTTTTTTCTTAACTGCTGGTGGATGGGATTGAAGCAGCAGGTATGGCAGCCGTTGGGTGGCATGTGCGCGTGAAGGGAAGGCGCAAGGTCAAAAAAATATTGTTTTATGTGTAAATTTCTAATATCACAAGATTTTTACTCATATTAACATGCAACATTCGTAAGTTATAATTGAAATCCTAAGATTGGAATCATGTTTAGATTGTGCTTTCTCTCGATTATAATATTAAAAATCGACGCGCTCGGTAAAGATGGAATGAGAATGGTTTGAAATTACACAATGGCTTTAAAAAGATCGCAATTCATTGCAATTCATTTCGACGGCTAGGGTGCCTGTGATTTGAGATGAATTTTGATTTTCGAACACCACTAATGACAAAAAAAAAAAACCAAACGAATCTCATTGTTATACCAAAAGTTTTGCACTTGCGGAGTTGCAGTGGGCACTGGGCAGTGCCATCGTCCTCTCCGATAAACCCTAGAGCGAGATTTTTGCCAAAAATCCCCAAATGCCCCTCCTCGTCCCCTAAACCCCGCCCCGCCGCCTTCCTCTCTCCGCCATGCTTCTCCTATGCCCCCTCCTCTCCCCCTCCGCCGCCGCCTCCTCCCCGACCCACCCCTCCCCGCCGCCGCCCGCCTCTCCCGCTCCGAACCCTTTGTCTCCTCCTCCTCCGATGACGACGACGACGACTCCCCCCTCTCCGCAGATCTCTTCCCGCGCGCCGGCGCGCCCACCCTCCTCACCGTCGCGCGGGGGCTCGCCGCCGCCGACGACCCGGTCCCCTCCGCGTCCACCGTGCTCGCCTTCCTCCGCCGCCTTCCCCACGACGCCTCGCCGCACCTCTTCCCCCACCTCGTCGCCGCCCTCTCCCGCTCCCGGGGGGGCGGGGGCGGGGGCGGGGGCCCCCTCCTCGCGCTCCGCCTCTTCCTCGCCCCGCTCCACCCGGCCGCCGTCACCCACCACTCCTTCAACTCCGCGCTCCTCCGCTTCCCGCTCCCGCCGCACCTCCTCCCGCCCTTCTTCTCCCGCTCCCTCCGACGCTTCCCCGGCCGCCTCGCGCCCACGCTGCTCTCCTTCAACCTCCTCCTCAAGTGCGTCTGCTCCTCTCTCGTCCCGAGGGATCCCGGCCGCTACCTCGACGTCGCGCTGCGGATCCTCCACGAGATCATCCCGGGGTGGGATCTCGCGCCGGATAAGTTCACCTACTCGACGGTGGTGTCCGCGCTCGCCGATGCGGGCCGGGTGGATGACGCGGTGGCGCTGGTGCACGAGATGGTGGCGGATGGGGTGGTTGCGGCCGAGGCGTTTAACCCCGTTCTGAGGGCGATGCTGCGCGCCGGGGATGTCAAGGGAGCAGCCAAGCTGTTTGGGTTTATGCAGCTGAAGGGGTGCGTGCCGACCACCGCGACATACAATGTGCTGGTGCATGGTCTGCTGGTGTGCGGGAGGGCCGGGGCGGCAATGGGGGTGATGAGAAGGATGGAGAGGGAGGGGGTGGTGCCAGGGGTGATGACGTACGGGGCAGTGGTGGATGGACTGGTGAGATGCGGGAGAGTGAAGGATGCGTGGAAGGTCGCGGAGGAGATGGAGAGGAACGGTCTTGCATGGAATGAATTTGTGTACTCAACTGTCATAACAGGATTTTGCAAGTCTGGGGAAATTGACTGTGCGTTGAAGGTGTGGGAGGCGATGGTGGCAAGTCCGGTAAGGCCAAATGTTGTTTTATATTCAGCAATGATTGGTGGCCTTGCCAATTTTGGGAAGATGACGGAGGCTGAATTGTTATTTCGAGAGATGATTCATTCAAAATGTGCGCCAAATATCATTACTTATGGGTCGATTATTCAAGGATATTTCAAAATTGGAGATACGTCTCGGGCTCTTTCTGTCTGGGAGGAGATGATAGGGGCTGGGTGCGTGCCAAATGCTGTTAGTTACAGCATATTGATCAATGGACTCTGCAATGTAGGGAGATTGAAGGATGCTATGATGGTCTGGAAGCACATGCTTGACCGTGGCTGTGCACCTGACACAATTGCTTATACTTCAATGATCAAGGGCTTATGTGTTTCCGGAATGGTGGATGGTGGTCTTCGATTATTTTATGACATGCTGGCAAGTGGTCATGCTGATCCAGATGTCATCAGTTATAATGTCCTGCTGGATGGGCTGCTCCTGGCCAAGGACCTCCCACGGGCAATGGACTTGCTGAACAGGATGCTTGACCAGGGGTGTGATCCAGACACGGTGACATGCAATATTTTCTTGAGGGAGTTTGGAGCTGGAGAGAGGAAGGGGAGGGAGTTCTTGGAAGGCCTGGTTGTGAGGCTATGCGACAGAAGAAGGAATATGGCAGCTGGAGAGGTTTTAATGGTAATGCTGGCTAAGTACATTGTGCCAGAGGCTCCCATTTGGGAGATGGTGGTCAGAGATGTTTGTCGGAGGAAGAGGGTTTGGAGAGTGATTGACAAATGTTGGGATGAGATTTGGGGGCCTTGATGATTTCTTCCTTTATGATTTTTCATTCTTGATACCAAAGGAGCATGGAGCTCACATACTGGAGGTTCTTGACACTCCATTTGTTGTAAGTTGTAATTTGTAACACTGACTCATTTATTTCTAACAAGATTTTGACTAAATAAATTGATTTCTATACACCATTGTGCTTGTCGTTGAGCATCGAACTTCCCTTTTGTCCTGATCTAAATGGTGTAAAGTGTATACATTGCTGTATGGGAATGCCTTTGGTGGAACTTTATGAGTCTGTCACTTTTTTCTCTCTCTGATTGGCCTCGCCGCCTACTTTATGATTTATATCCCTTCTTCATAGAAGAAACGGGTTGCTTGGGAGTTATAACAAAAATATCATGTTAAAAAATTCAGCGCAACTATTATTTGTTTTGTCTACCAAATAAATTTGTAAAATATAAGTTAGTTCTATGTGTAACAACTTTGTAATGTCCATGCTTTTGTTATAGTAGGCTTTGTAATTTTCTTGTCAATTCTCTACTGCAAGATATGGTGCCTTCAGCTTATTTTGACATGCCAATTGATTGGAATGGGTAAACAAAGGTGGCAAATATATTATCATTATTCATATGTTTTTTCAGGAGTTGCACTTTGGCAGTATGGGTTTTATCATATTCTGGATTTCATCCTACAAGTAAGTTATCTATTTTTGTTTATTCTGCCTCATTCAATCAGCATAAGTAATGCCCTGTAGTTTGGATTCAAACGTTTCGCCTTAATCCATGCGTTTCTTTCCTCAGACCTGTGCACTGTTTCTCACCTTTTTTGACAGTTACTACATTCCAAAGAAAGACATGTGGGTGCTTCAGTTGCATTGCCCTGGATTCCATCTTGCTGATGGTCGAAAATCATACAAGTGAAGTGTTTTTAGAGCTTGCTGTTTTACCTATTTGAAATTCTGAAAGGTTTTATCCCTTAGTTACTTATGTAATTCCTATCAATGGTAAATTTCTTACTCATGGTTTACAGGATTTTACATTGGACTGGTTGCAGACAGTGACTCAGTGAGCCAGTGATGCGAGGAGCATTCCTGAACCTTCTAGTTGCTCTTTTTGCCTTGGAACGTGACAATGTGTCAGAACCTGAAATATATAACTGAATTTCTTAGTTCATAGTACTATAAAAGAACTACACCTTGTGCTTTGTATGGCCAATTCATTATGACAGCATTTTAGGAGTATAGCTATGGCTTCTCCAGCATTCTTGGTTTCAGAGATAACTATACAGTGTCTCTTTTTCATTGACATGGGTCTTCATACATTTGTTTTTGGATACCAGAGACATGGGTCTTCATGATCAGATCCTCATATTTTTACTTAATATTTCAAAATGTTAGTGGAAGAACTGCTCATGTGCAAGAATTATTCTGAATATCTATATGGATGTAACTAGTTATTGTAAGATGTAAGTACTTACCTGAGGAATAGTGTTATTGGAGATAAATTGTTCATTATTACAGATCCTAGCTGCAATATAGATTTCGCACGGAAACACAGTGTGGTACAAAGATTTATTTTGTATGCTTCAGTACTTCCTAAATATCAAATGATTTTGGATTGCAGTGATTTCGAACTTGCTTGCCTCTGTTATTTGTTTCGTTGTTAACAACATGCTTGAAATTTGTTTTGTGGTTCTTATAATATTCCCAATATATTGAAATTTGTGCTACCCTGACATGCCCTTTTGTGGTAATTCATCAACTTTTTACAGAGAATTCTCATCTTTAAATAAGAGGATAATTTCTGTTTGTGAAACTTTTTGCATCCATAGATTATTAATTTCTGCTTGATATATATGAGAACAGCATCAGATAAAACAACAAAGTCGGTAGTATCTGCTGAATTTTGATATCTGAAGTAGATCAAATTTATCTACTGCTGTATTGCGTGCTTGCCTAGATTAGTTTAAAGCACCATTTGGTGCGTGCAGATCTCTATTCTCGCTAATCGCTATCTTTCATTGCTTTAGCAGAACATTTATTTTACTATAAATAGGCTGCTCTGGCAGTTTTGCATATATGCTAGAATTACCAAGACATTGCTGTGATCCAGTACTAGTTCTAACATACTACTTAATTAGAGCCTGATCCTTCTGCATCACTAGCCTTCATTGAGAAATCATCTTTTGTGCTATGCCAAACTATTGACCGTTAATGAGATTGTAGTTTCTTGTTTTCACATAGTAGATATTCTTTCTGAAAACTTGAAAATGTACCAATTATTTATAGGTATTTATTGAGTTGTTTGTGCAGGGTGAAAATAACATGAACTGCTTTATTGTGTGTATATGATTCTTTCCTTTAATCATGTGCTCGTGATTTGATGTGGTCGACACTGATTGTAGAATGGCTCAAAAAGATGGCCTGAGCGATCTTAGAAATTTGTCTCCTCATGTTCTTGTGAGAGGCAGTTTTCCTTCTGTGCAAAACATGATTGCTTCATATTTCCAACACGCTGCTCTGTCTTTGCAGGCCATACTTAACATGTGTGACAATATTGGCGGTACCTTAATCGACATGAATGGACCTCTGCCTATGGCATACTAAATGGTAACTTGCCAATGCCCTTCCATTTTTTAAGCTGATAAAATCACAGAACTTCTCTTTTTTGCTTTTCTCCGAGATGGATTTCTTGATTTGAGATATGGTGCTGCATTCACTAATGTCCAGATCATGGTGGCACTGCACATAATGAACTGCCACGGTTTGCCTTCAGCGGCGTCGTCTACTCATCTGTGTGCTTCTTGTGAGTTGTGAAGCATCCATCCTGACATTGCGCCATATTTCGCATTGTGGTTATTAGTAATATAGAAGAAAAAAGGTAAGTGAATCGATGAGGATACGGATTGTTTCTGGAAAAATTTTACACTGTAGCATGTTCAGCCATTCAGGATCATTCCGAGTTATATCATCTTCCAAATGTACCCACATCTGTTGTAGGAATTTTACAGGATTATGTTCAATTCCTCCAAAAATCATTTTGAGTGTCCCTTTGATTCGTAGGAAAAGTGTAGGAATTTTAGAAGATTCCAATCCTATGGAAATAATTCTTATGAAGGCCTTTGAAACAAATGATTGAATCATATCCTATCATTTAAAATTTCTATGGAAATATGGAATGAGTAATCCTATAGAGATTTTGGAAGAAAGTTAGCAAGAGGTTTAATTTCTTGGAAAAAAAATCATTCGAGTTTATCTCTCTCATCCGATTCTTATATTTTTCCTGTGGTCTAATCGAACGGTCATTCTTGTGTTTTCTCTGTTACTCTATTTTACCAATCGTGCATGAATTCAAAGGGTCCCTAAGGTTCCACCATCCAAAGGAAGTCCTTAATTGATTCTCTTTTATCGTAACCTTTCTGTTAAACCTCTTAAAAGTTTTATCCTCATTTTCATTCGTTCTGCTGCAGGGGTCGCAGCTCGTGCATACAGCATTCGGAGGAGCAAGGTTAAACCGTTCGATGGAATCATCATGGAAATTACCAGCTTTCTGTATCATCATGGAAATTACCAGCTTTCTGAATAAGCAGAACATGAAGTCTACAGTTGTACGGTGTACTTCATAAAGTCAGAAGCTGCGTATCGTTTGTTAGGTACAGTGCCATGTCGAGGCATTTACTAAGAAGTGGCCCAGGTCAACACTGATGAGAGCTTTCTTGAAAAGTGGAAACGCGATGGTTACTCCTTGGCCAAAGGACCGTTCTTCCATTTCCATCACAAGAACGGCGCCAACCATGGAGATTTAGCTCTCGAGTCATGTGGACTGCCGTCCATTTTACAATGGACGGCGAGCCCTTCGTCGATGCCTTCTGTGGTCTGAAATACTTCATGCCCTGTCAGGTTCCCCAAATTATCTGAATTTTGGCTGTGTACGATCCGTTTTGGATGTAGAGACCGGTTTAACCCATTTCTTTAAAAAAACTGAATTTTGATTACTTTCTTTTGGGTTCAAATTATGGTTTATATCATCTAGCTTTTCTTTATTGCTTTTGAGTTAATACTGATTGGCTTAGATTTTTTTTTTTCTTATTACTCATGACACGTGATTGATGTAACAAAAGAAAGCCAACGCTAAAGAATTAGAAAACGATTAAAGAAACACCTAGACAAATTTTAAAATGAGTTATAGAATTCAAATATGATTCTGGCTTATAGGTTGGCGAGCTGACAATAATGGAGAGCGTATTTCAGGTCACATTTTTGGATGGCCATTATATTCTTTCCATGTCGAAGGTGAAGATAAAAGCTCCTGACCATTCCAAACAAATCCAGCGAGGCATCCAAATCCAACCAGTCAATCGATTGTCCCCCACTGCAAGTACTCATACCAGTACACTACAAGCTGACCTAATGACCATGACTTGCTCCTTCACTTGTGCTTGAGTCAAACCATCCTGCACCTGCAATGCAATTTCCACGGCAGTTACACGATGGAGACAGGCCAAACCGAACATGCCAGCCTAGGCACGTAGTAGAAGAACAACGGTTCTTTGGCCGTGTTTAGTTTCCCCCATATTCCCAACTTTTCATCACATCATATCACATCAAAAACTTTTCTACACACATAAACTTTTAACTTTTTTTTTCTAAACTCTCAACTTTTTTCAAACTTCTAACTTTTTTTCAAGGAGCTAAACACACCCTTTTATGGGCGATGCAGGCTAGTAACAACATGCTACACCACGCAATTGTTTCTTATTCATGACGAAATGGAAATTTGACGATGTGGTCGATCCATACCGTATAAGATGTGTGAATTTGTCATCCTTCTTGCATTCGCGTCTCCTTGCATTGTAAGATCGATCGGCTCAATTCAATTCATGTAGGAGTTTGGGACAACTTCATAACTTCTGAAGAACGCCACAATATTAGGTGGTATCTCATTTGTGGATGTTGAACAATTGGTCCAAATAGAGTTAAATTCGTTATGCACAAGCTATAGCTGTTATATTTCCATTCAAACAAAGTAATAATGTGCATGGAAGATGTCAAAGCTTTTTTTTTTTTTTTGGAGAGGGGGGGGGGGATGGAAGATGTCAAAGCTGTTACACTATTACCAAAATTACCCAATATGCTTAAACAAAATATGGTTGTGTGCGTCCTGGTTAGCACCAAAGGTAAATATACTACTATTAAAAGATAGTAGTGGTGCTGGTGGTGAGTCTGCCGCCAACACCATCACTAACATGTGGGCCATGATATTAGGATTTTGGGAGTCATTTGTAGTATATAGATTGCAAATCTTTAATTTTCTAAGCATGATATTTTTTTTATGAAAGGTTGTGTTTCAACCAATTAAAAATATATATTTTTCAACAAGGACTTAATTTTGCTATTTTCAATACTCCGTTGCAACGCACGGGTTTTTGGCTAGTTATTGAAAAATGAGCAAAATCATGCTACTGTTTTTATCAGGACTCCCTTTTCACTTTTTCCTTCTTCATTCTAGCCTTCATAAATCCAGAAACGTTGCGAAGAACAGCCGGCTGCTAAGTAGGAGAAAAGCTAAAGACCGATCACTCTTTCATCGCAAGTTAGGCAGAGCAGCAGATATGAACTTTAAGCACATGTTTGCCAAAAGCAAGTCAAACTATTCACGGTACGGCCGTATGTGCCGAAATCTGCTTTCAAAGATCGGAGGCCAGTGCCCTTGCCACTCGATACCTTTTTCATTTTCTTTCAATAATCATCTTATGGTGCGCTAATCATATAGGCAGCCGTAAATCAACAGCGTCGTATATTTAAATATACAACATCATATGGAAGAAGTAACAAAAATTCTCAAGACTAATGTATATATATATACCAATCATACAACCTATATATATACCACACTCAATTCACACGTCAGATATAAAAAAATAAATTCAGCGTATGAATAGTAACATATTGTTCATGTCCGAATTTATCTTTTTATTTCTCACTGTGTAGGTTGAATTTAAACTTTATTTTTGTGAACTGATAGATATATACCATTATACTCTATATTTTAGATTTTTTTAAGTTTTTTTTCATAACTGTTTGCATTAAATTTGAAAGAAAAAGGTATACGAGGGAACATCCCCGATCAGAATCATCTCCCCAGTAACGGAGCACAATCTTTTTCAAGCAGCACTTCCTAGATGCAGTAATTATCTGCCCTTTTTCTTGTATGCAAGCCATAAAATACTTGCAACTAGAATTTCTGTTAGGCAGTGTGGAGAAAAAGAAACTCTTTCTTTCCATAGTTCCATGAAGCAGGGGATCTGCCCCATTTCCTGTATAACCAACACATGACATCAAGTAGGTTGGGCTCTGTTTTTTTTCTCCTTTTTTAGCAGAAGTAGATGTTGGTGGTTATGACTGAAGATTCAACGAGTATGTACTTAAAAAAAATCATATTCTTGCAAAGCACCACCTCCTAGATGCAGCAATTATCTGTTTGTTTGCATCCCAAGCCATAAAATATTTTCCAAATAGAATTTCTCAGAGGCAGTGATGAGAAAAAAGAAACCATTTCTTCCATGAAGCAGGGGATCTGCCCTAATTTGATATTGCCATCAAAGTAACTTGCCATGTTCCTGAAGATGATCTCCTACAAAAGATGGCAATGGAATCTTTGTTGGTAGGTAGGGCTCCTTTTTTTTTTCCTTAGCAGAAGTAGAATTTGGTGGTGGTGACTGAAGAAGATTCAGAGAGCGTGTGATCCTAACTCCTAAGCATGCAATGATGCACGTGTTTGGTGAGATACATAATTAGTAAAGAGATGTTGGTTATCACCTAACTGAAGCGGGTAATGACCGTCGTGTTTTGTAATTGACTGCCTTGACTAGGAAATCCTGAGATTATGCGTGATGCTCCCAGCTGCTGAATTTTGGCTTGAAATGTTGAGACAACCTACTCTGATGGATGGAGCATTTTGTTTGTCTTTTCAGTGCATCCATTCAACGGATTTCATCCTGACTGAAATAGTTGGACCAACTAATTCAACAGCAAGCATAAGTATGAAAGTAAGGGAATGGACTTCGCAATTTATGAGGTTTATGTCTATAGATGTCTCACAAACAAGACACATCTTGTTTTCTTGGACAAAATGGCTTGAAACAAATACACATCTTGTTTCATGCAGAAGCAGAAACTACCTAAGCATACCCTGAACTGAGAAATAATTTTCCTTACAAGCAAATCATCAATTTACATACTAACTCTCATACTAACTCTCAGTTACATTAGATCCTTGCATTGCTAATGAATTCATAATTTTGTAACCAATCAATTTTCAGAATTATTATCAGGTTGAAAACCTTAGATTCATTTGGATCGGGCGATGTCGTCGTTCTGTCGGTGTGTACTTCTTGAAGGCTTTGTTTTTAAGAGTTTTTCCCTTGTTGAACTGCTGTTCTTTAGTTCAGTGTGTCCGGTTTTCCTTTAATTAACCGTGCCGTTTTGAGGTTTTTGGATTCGGTTTTTCTTATAAACTAGATCAACTCTCTTCTTCTATAGTGAAATAGCATGAGCTCCCTGCCTGTTCCTCGATTTTTTTTTCAGAATTAACACATGACATTTTTGTGGGTTTTCAGTTCACCAGCAGACAGGCCTGCATCACTTGCGAGCTAACTGAAGTTCAGGTTGGTAGGATACTTCATTAAGATTCAAAGATATCAACTTGACAGATAAAATGGAACTCCAAACTTATCTGGAGCAATACATATCGCACGATTTCTTACCTGAACCCCGTGTCCAACAACTCATAGATTTGGTCAGGTCTCTGATGTGCACAGAATTGAAAATCAACTCTCCCAAATGTCAAATGACATCACTGATCAAGACTGTTCCTGGTTAAGCCTGATGCACGCCGCAAACCAAAATGCCATATCCTAATTAGGAGTTCCATTGGTCCAAGCAATACCAGAAAGCGACAGAAATGTAAGCCGACTAGTTAATTTCTATCGAGACAATCGAGGTAAGCATAAGATATGATTTCATCTAGCAAAGTTTAAAATCATGATGATAATAAGTATTATCATAGTTTTACTAGGATTTTAATAAGGTTAGAGATTTGGCTCTGGCATTTATCCCTCGGAGTTTATGTTTGTTGAACGTACTAATGAGTATATATATGGTTTCGTTTGGTGGAAAACTTTTATAGTAGCTGCAGTTTTTTTTCAGAATTTTAAGCTCTCTCAAATAATTAACAATCCAGATTCTTATTCATATTCTGACAGTACGTAGTTATAGAAGTCAAAAGAAGTTAGAAAATCCAGCTTCTTACCATCTCTCTTTTGTCCCCTAATCTTGAGCTCTCGAAACAGGGCCTAACATACTCATGTGATGCATGTAACGGCGAAAACTGTTCTCAAGCAGGCCGGACGTTCACCTAGCTCTCTGTCATTGTGCCTCCAATGTACCGTCGATGTCTGAAAAAAGTGGTCGACTGCTAGCTCCGTCAAGAGACGCGTGCATGTATTAATTCCATGTACTCGAAAAAATGAAAACGAAGGACGAAGAAGCGAAGCATGTTCAGATTTCTTATGGGTTTTAGGCCTTCACCGTTTTGTTGACGGCTTCTTGCTCTTCAAAAGGGTCGTATTTACGCGCGTCAGAACTGCATAAAAACGCAGCTGACGTATATATATCTGGCCATTCATGGCCATGCGTGGCCGATTGCCCATCGACACGAGAGATATGGATCGATGTAATATATTTATCGGATCATAAATAAACACTAATATCTCGAGAGGACGTTAACTCATTATTATATGCCATCTAAATGTTATAAAATATAATATACGATATATCGTTCTTCAAATTCGATCTTTACAAGTTTAATAATAATAATAGATTTAACTGAAACACTTTATATTTAAATTTGTTGTTTTAATTGTGAAATATAAATTTAAACTTGCATGTTGTGAAGTGATATATCATATATTAATTTATCTTGCTAAAAAAATTTTAAGGACACGAGGAAAAATGAAGGGAAACCCTATCTCTAGGATTAAAAAGTCTCTCATTAGAGATGTTATCAAAATATTGGTCGTGATTCAATGACGGGCTAAAAATGGCCGCCACAGGTCAGCCGCCATGGGGGCCGTACATCGAGGAATTAATAAACAGCAACGTGATCAATAATTCGTTAGTCAATTAACTTGATGGTATTTTCCGAGTGACAGTGCATTAATTTGTTTGTACAGTTATCGCCGTGCAGAGTCTTAGTACGGACTCCCTCCGTCAACAAATGGATGTCATGTTAAGGTCCGTGCGTCCAGTAGATCGATCATCTAAAGCTATTTATATTTTGGTGCTCCGTATATGGAAAAATGAGTGCTGGTTTAATATATTTGAAATTATCATGAGATTTAAATTTGTCGTAGAGAAAAACATTGGATATAATATAAACTTTATGAGTGAATTTTCACAAAACTGCATATATTTGATAAAGCTGTTATGTGCATTAAAGCTTTGTTTTGCGAAACTATAGATTTAACACGGAACATGAAAAATTTTGAATTTAGTTACAAGGTTGATCCTTGTCTTATGTTCAGTTTTTTTTTTTTAGTTTTGTAGTATATAAAACTGCCACTAAATTTAGTTTTGCCATAACATGGTTATAGGATCTGCATTGGTGCAGAGTATATCATAGAGTAAATTTGGCAAACTACATATCCTTATCAAACTATTCCATAACTACGTATTTAAGTCGGTGTGTCATAAATCAATATTTTTATAATAAATTTAATATTAAATTTATAGTTTTGTGATACAACGTATTAAATCAGTAGTATCATGATTGTTTGGTCAAAATATCTATAATATTATTCTATTCTATCTTCGTTATTAAGTTTCATGAAGAAAATTGACTAAAAGAGCAAAATATTTTAATCATTCCTCTGAGGCTCTCACCATGTAGGCTCCCCGAGGCCAAAGCATTTTGAGCCGCAACAAACCAACAGTTAAGTTTTAATAGTGGAAAAGGCAAGTCCTTGACTCCTTGTGCTTATGATCTCTTCTGGACCTTTGTTCAGTTTATGTGGCTTCCGGTTCACCCAAAAGCCCATTTTTTAGGTTAAACTCCAAGAAGCAAAAGATGTCTTTATTAATGATATTTTACTTCGACACTATATTGATCGAGCTTGGCTTAGATACAGTAAAAAAATTGCTCCACCTCCATATATGCTCCGTCCATGCCTAGAGACATGAAATCGACATGGACCACATTTTTTAAAGTTGTATGAGTATAAACAAAATGAGCATACGTCTAGTACGTCGACACATGCATGGTTTTATATATAAAAACAGTTGACTCCAATTAAATCACATAATTATATATAAAATGGTGTTCTTTCATTACAAGTAAAATCCTCAAAAGTTGTTTCCAAATTTCATGTTTCATTACTACCTACTTCCTCCGTTTCACAATGTAAGCCATTCTATCATTTCCCACATTTATATTAATGTTAATGAATTTAGATAGATATATATGTCTAGATTCATTAACATCAATATGAATATGTAAAATGTTAGAATGACTTACATTGTGAAACGAAGGGAGTAATTTGAAAAGAAAATCGAAATGTCGCTACCACAAATGAAAGACTTATCACCACCGCCACTGCTATAACGATGTTCATGATCCAATTAGACTCTCCTACCGCTATCTCTATCATCTTATTTACGTCAATTTACCGCGTGGATACACTTGAGCCAACTTTTAGAGGTAAAAAAGACCCATTTGCATTAGATTACAATTACATTAGATCAGACTTTAATTTGCAGTGCTAATTAATCAGGCAAATCTTTCCATGACCCCACAAATTAAGTCTGACTTTCCCCCCATCCACGGCTATATATGGCGCGAAATCAATCAAACCCGCCGCCTCCAAAGCAGAAAGGAAACCCCGCGAAAGGAAAAGCCTCACAAATTAAGCTGGAAGCCAACAAGGAGAAGGCGACGACGGCGGCGGCGAGCGATCGCAAGGTTATGGCCGGCGGCGCGAGCCTCCTGCACGCGGTGGCGGCGCTGATGAGCACGTGCACGCGCCGGCTGCAGCGCGCGGCGAGGCGGGTGTCGTCCGCCGCCGCGGGGGCGGGGAAGCAGGGGGCGTCGTCCCGCGCCGTGGTGCCGTGGAGGAAGGCGCTGTCGCTGCCCGCCGCGGCGACGGCGAAGGTGAAGGCGGCGGCGGCTGCGGCGAGGCGGGAGGAGGGGGACTCCGGCGGGCTGTGGCGGAAGGAGATCCTGATGGGTGAGCGGTGCCAGCCGCTGGACTTCTCCGGGGTGATCTACTACGACGCCGACGGCCGCCGCCTCGCGCACCCGCCGCCGCCGCGCTCCCCGATGCGCAGCCCTCTCCCGGTCTCCGGCAAGCTCGCCGCCAACGCCCGCGCCGCGTACTAGCTAGCCCGCGCCGTGTTCTTGGGCAGGGCAGCCTCTCCGCGGATGAGCGGCGGTGGTCGCCGGCGGCGAAGCTTGCTCGCGGCTGCTCTGTTCTTCTTGTGGGTGCTCGTGTTGTGTACATGTAGCTGATCATCACTAGATTAATTTAATTAATGGTGTTCTTGCTGCCTGCCCTTCTCTTAATCTCTCCTTGTGTCTTCTCTAATGGTCATGTGTAATGATAGATTTATTATGCAGGGATTTTATTGATAATTATATATATTGCAAGTCGATCAGCAAGATTTGGTCATTTGGAGTTGTGTTTGCGGTTTTTCTTCTTGTTTGAATTACGTTACGCACTTACGCTGATGGGGTTTATCAGTGGTGCAAATTGATCTGATCTTCACCGCAATATATTTATTTCATTTTGCAATTATTTTGCTCGCACAATATAATTTCTTAGCATTGTTGTACGTCAACAAGTCTTAAATAAAAGTACTCCTACAGGCCACTTGCAGGGAAAAAACATCTTTTTACTGGAGTGAAAAAAAAATATTGGGAGTAAAATTCTGGTGATTTTTACTGACGCACACATGCTCGCCTTCAAAAGTGAACCTGGGTAAAAAAAAATAAAAATAGAAATAAAATTCCATGTCACTGTACTTTGTGATTAATGGTAGAGTGTTATGTTTTATTAGTTCCTTTCTGATTGTACCTGCAGTATGTATCATTTCTGTGCTCATCAAGCAGAATTTTTTTTTTACAGAATTAATGTATGTAAAATACAGTTTGATTTCCTTCATTATCTATTATTCCGTGGTTTGTGACGCGGGCAAAGTGGTACAAGCGCGGACTTTGCAGGTAAACGAGAAAAAGAAAACACCAATAGCATGTCAATTGGGACTTGTCTTAGTCACAGTCTCGCAGATGATCAAACTTGTTTGAAGATATTCAATTGTGGACGACAGAGCTTAGATATTTTAAGCAGGTCATAAGGGAGAAAATTGTTTGTAAAATAAACCCAAAATAAATGGTGTATTTCTTATTGTTTGTCAAGACCATTAATTATATTCCTGTCAGATTTTGGCTCCCAAGTATTACCTTTGGACATAGAGGGAGGTTCTTGGCTGTCTACTATTTGACAGAGCTGCATTGACAATTTGGGGTATCTAATGACATCATGTGCTTGATCAAAATGATTAATCCAGCTTCTTATAATGTGCAATCATGTGCCAAATAATACACAGATTGTGTACATTTGAGGGGCAGAATTCATATAATCTGCAACATCATGTCCCATGCAATGATATCCCAACTGAAAACGGTGTATCACTAGATCTCCAATAAAATGGTTGCACTTGGCACTTGGAAGAGGGCCAGCCAAACTTATACAATCCAAGCAACAATATTATTATGCGTGTACGGATGCATTATGCTGGCTTCCACGAGTCCAAAGGCATAACACTGAAAGTGAAATCCTCATAGAGACATCACTCCCTAACTCCCCTATTCTTGTAGCCTCAACGAACCCTATATCTTGCTTCTTGGACACTTTAGGACCATTTTGTTTTGATGAATTCGATGAGTAATTGACTGTTCGATCCTATAACTTGTTTGGTTTGATGAACATGGAGTATTACCTCTTCATAGCATTATCAGAAAAATGCACCTGCTTAATTTATCCAAAAATAGAGAATATAGTCATCTCACCAAAATCATGCATGGGATGATATCTGAAGATTGATCTACCCGTCCTAGATAGTTTGATTCCTCGATCTAAACAACCCATAAAGTTACAAATCGTCCATCTTCAGTTACTGAATATTTTTGTTGCTGTAAGTGTTGTACCATTTATTGTGTTGCTACAATGAACCACAGCAGGTAGCATATCGCTTAACTTAAACAGGAAGAGTTGTCCATGCATAGAGAGATTTGGTGAGACCACTCATGGTCATGGATAATATCTAACAGTGTGCATATCAATGTGATGAGTGTTACTTGTGGTTCAAGACATGTTTTGCCCAATTTACCAAGAAAAATGAACACGTATATCTAACAAGCAGACAGGCACCAACCAACCAGTGACCAAACATGAACAGGAAGCTCATGGTGTGATCATTTCATGCCATGATATGATCAATATAATCAAGTTCGGTTCTATATAGATCAATCAGATATGCATCATATCCAAGAGTCCCAGAAGCAAACATCAATTGCTACCGGTTTGCCCATGGCGCAATCGATGGCAAAACAGCTAAGAAACCATGAGACCACACCACCGGCTGGTGCCCACAAGGCTGTAATGGTCTGAAACTCTGAATTTCTTATAACAATTGCAGTCAGATGGGTCTCAGCAATAAGAATTTCTTGCAATCATGTCCGTCCATTTTTATATCCAACCGTGTACAAACCCTTTCGCATCTTTGCGTACATCAGATCAAAAATAGACGGCTCGGATTGAAATCCACCGGATAGATTTGAGGAAAGAGGGTGCACCACATGCCATTTTTCAGGCCATGCCATGTTGCCATGCACATGCGCCCCACAGTGCCACACAAAACACCCCAAGGAAATGTGCTGATGCCACCACCCTCAAGGATCATCAAAGAGCATCCCCATTGGCAAATGCATGATTGCAGCGGATTGTTCACAAGGGCCCCACTCGGGAGAGGGAAACGTCAGAGGGGAAGTGTAGGAAACCGGGAAAGAAATTGAAGGCATTAATCGAACAACCACCAACTATTTCAGGCTTGCCAATGAGCGAGCAGTGGACGTGCCCTACACCATGTTTGCCTCTGAATTTTGCGTGTGAAGGAACTCCAGCTCCATAACAGCAACTTCATTCAGTGTCTGAGCTTGTGTACGTGCTCTTTCAGAAAGAGAAAGAAGATGGGTTACTTGACGTTTTGTAGCTAGCGACAGGGCGTCAATCAGCTCAGCTACCCTGTTGCTGCACCTGATCCATCCTGAAGCTCACCCATTTCTAGTACTCCATGAGTTAGCACAGTGTCTACATGGCTCAGGATTAGCAAAAAAGTACTCCAGAAACCATTGAAACCTACAATCACGGAATTGGGTCACGGCTAAGTGTAAAGGAAAACACATGCTTCACTTCATGTTTATTACTCAAATGGAATGGTGTACACCAGTGTGAAAGATAACTGTCCAGGTGAAACAGCATCCTTGGAGGAAGGCAACATCAATATCTACATAGATCATGGTAAATGAAACTATGAACAAACCAGGGTTTTACCGGTGACACTAAAAGGCAGGAAGTCACGAGGAAGCACAAAATGAAAATAATGATTCTGGGCCCAAGGCAACATGCACTGACTTTACCCTACTACGGACAAGGAATTGTTTATAACTGACAGCCGAAGCCCTGATACCACAGAACATAAAAATGTTAAGAGAAAAGCTGACATACAACAATGCAAGGGCAGGTTAGTTTGCAGGCTTAGTCAGCTGGGACTCGCCATCTCCTTACAGCCCTCTCAAGTACTTCAGCTCGTTCATGTACACGTGCTGCTTCTTCTTCCACCCAAGACCTGATATCATTTGGCCAGTGTAAAAAATTCATGGGTTAAACTTGTTACAAAATTCATGGGTTAAACAGTGTTAAAATACATATTTGAGCATCCAAGGTGTACACTTGTTTAACAAGACCTGATATCACCTTGGGTTAAACTTGTTAAACAAGTGTACACCAGTGTTCTTAAAGCGACAAGGCGAGGCAAGGCAACGCCTTACACACAAGCACAAGAGGCATACTAGAGATATACGAGGCAGAAAAGAGAGGAAGAACATGAAGGGGCGAGGAAGAGCAGGGAGACAGATCCATTGGCGATGAAGGGAGCAGCAGGAGGGAGACAACCATCTCCTCTTTCCATCTTCCCCTCTTATCTTTCCATCTTCCCATGTCGCTATGTTTCCAATCTCTGCCCGCCCTATTCTCTATTCTCTTTCCATCTTTCACCCTTCCCTCTCCCTAAATCGTCGCACACGAGATTTCCATCCTATCTTCACGCGATTTCCTTCCCAGCATGCGCAATTCACTACAGCGCATGCGCCCTTGACCCCACCTTGCCCATGTCTACCTGATTTCATGAGATATTAGGATCCAAGACGTGTGGAAGGGTAGGCGGTGGCGACGCTCTGATCCCTGATGGTGCTCAGATGCCTAGGCGACGCTTTTAAAACCATGGTGTACGCCACTGTTAAACAAGTTTACCCCCTCCGTCCCAAAAAAAAAAAACACAATCCTAGCTAGGAAGCTAGACACATGCATGTCCAGGTTCATTGCTAGAATTGGTCTTTTGTTGGGACAGAGTAGTACTTACCAAAATACTCAAATACCATGGCTACAAGAATTGGCCTGATCCATAAGTATAAATTTTGTGGGTTAGTCTGTCTTTGGGCTTTGAACTCTTCTAGAAGCCACTGTCCATCTGGAACTTAAAAACCAGTTTTTTTCACCCTTAACTTTCAGAACCTGACAAACAACACCCTAGAGCCTATATTCTACAGCAGTTTGGTTTGAAATAGCAGTGGGTTTCTCTAACATGAACTTTCTATTGGACAAGTACCACTGATGCAGAGCTAAGTGATGTGCAAAAGCAACCATTCTTTCAAACAAAACCACTATAGAATAGGTTCCAGGGTGTTTATTGTCTGGTTTTAGAAGTTGAGGGTGAAACAACCCTTTTTTTTAGTTCAGGCTGAAAAATAGACTTCAAAAAGAGTTCAAGACTCCAAAATGACCTTTCTTAAATTTTATTCTGATGACTGATCTTCAGCATTTCTTCAAAACCATCAAATATAGTAGAATTTTAGAGCGTTCATGTTAAAAGTTCAGTAAAGGGTTACTTTATTGTTCGGAATCTAAGATATGCAAACTAAATCAAATCTAAGAGTTGGGTACATAGTTCACATCAGATTAACCAGCTACCAAACTACTTGCATGTGTTTGCAAAAGATCATACAGATAGCAGCAACATCTATGAAGATATATCCAGAAAAATATTTTCAAGTGAAAGAGTTGGGTTTAAACCACAGCATCTAAACTACCAGCTCCTTTAAAGGAGTAAAGAAAGCATCTAGTTCTGAACTACTGCGCATTACATTACATGTATTCATACAAGTGCAGGCGCTAATAGTTTTCAAATATGAAAATATCAGGTAATAATTAAAAGGAAAATGTAAAGACTGTATAAAGACAGACCTTAGCATAGTAAGAGCTTCCTTCTCAGCTTCAAGATAAGATTTGGATTCAGAGACAGCTTGATGCTTCCTATTCACATCAAGTGAGAGCTTTTCCAGGTTTTGTTCCTCAGTCATGACCTCTAGACTTTCCATGGCTAGTCTATCATACATCCCATCAATCTCTGACCTCAAATTCATAAGTTCCTGATTCTGATGTTCTAGAGCTGTTCTCTCTTTCAGTAAGACCGCAAGTTCCTTTTCTCTATCTGTTTTCTCATTTGCAAGCTCTTGCAGCACATGTTGAAGCTGCTTATCAACTGCAACCTCACGGATTTCCTCCACTTTCATCTTGTCCTCCCAATATCTTTTTATATCTCCTCTATTAATTAACTCTTCCATTATTTCACCCATAACAGAAAGCTGGGATTGATTCTCTGCTTCTAGTCTGTTCAATTCATCACGTATTACTTCTTCCATTCGGCCACTGGTCAGTGCAGCAGCTGCTTGTGCTTTTGTAACAGGTTTATGTGGTTGAAGGCATCTTGTGTTTCCTACAAAATGTAATTATTGTTCAAGTCAGCTGAAGTACATTGAAACAGGATAGCTATGACCTTTTCTTTGGTCACGGGACACAAGGATATGGATAACAAAATCAGTCACAAAAAAGGCAGAAGAAAGAAAGGTTTAGAATCAGACTGAACTACATCTTATACTGATGGGAAACATGTCCATGCACGAAAATCAGCATAGACAATGTTCTTCCATAAGCTCTATTTTCATAACAGTTAAATTGAAACAAATTACGGAATGGCAAGCATCATATTTTTTTTATAACTTTTTGAACCTTTAATTTTTAATAATTTTGAAAATAAACCCTTCCAAAACTTATTTTCAAGATTTGAACCTTTGGCCAAGCCAATCAGGCTGGCGTGGCAAAACAATACTGCCACGCCGGTCTGGCTGCCGTGGCAGCATTGTCTGTCTTGCCACGCCACTCTAGCTGGCGTGGCAGAACAAAACTATCACGCCTGCTCTGGGTGGCATGGCAGCGTTGTCTGGTGTGGTAGGACAAAAATATCACACCTGCTGTGGTTGGCGTGTCAGTGTTGTTTTGCCATGCCATGCGGGCTGGCATGGTTAAAAGGTTCAGAATTCTGAAAATAAGTTTTGGAGGGGTTCATTTTCAAAATCAAAATTTAAGAAGGTTCAAAAAAAGTAACAAAACAAAACGAATATTCAAACCACTAGTATAAGCACACAATGCTTTAGGGAATAATAGGTCTTGCTATGCCTAAGTTAGCATAACAGAATAACCATAATCTTAGTAAATTAAGAATCATTCGGTCAAAACATCAACACAAAATAAAGACTACTAACAAATCATACCAAAAACTTTGCTGATGATGCTCTGTTCACCACCCATCAAATCTACAAGTATAGATGATGGTACATCAGGCCAAGCCCTCAAATCCAAAATGCGAACATTTTTACTCAGCATCTGGACTGTAACCAGAGTCAGGATTTACAAAAGAATGAAACCAAGTAATATTATAGAAACATTGCAGAATATCATAAGAACAAAAGATATATGTACCTTCTGGTCTAGTTCAGTTGCAAATGGATGCTCCACTAGTGCTTTCCAATTAACAAGATCAAAACGTGATAGATAACTAAAACCACCACACACAAAAGAAAAGAACATAACAAGTAAGAAAAATGTATTAGCTGTCAATAAAGGGATAACAGAAATTTCATACGTACCTGTTGGGTAGGAAGTTTGAATTTCCACTGTCACTAGAAGAACCACTTGTTGATGTTCCCAGGAAGTTCGATAACTTGCTAGATACAATGCCTGATTCTCCTAAAGCTTTTTTTTTTTTGTAATGGACAAAATTAGAGTTTATAATCACATGCTATTAAATTATAGGCATCTGGAAATCCAATGGAGTACTCCTTAACAAGAAAATCATGGCCAAAGTAGCGTAGAGAAGGCAGGCAAATGAAGACAGGCTCCGATATCTAAGAGCATTGTTGAGTGAGTTCAGTAACCATCAGTATAATAACAACTTACATTGGATGTACAAGAAATCTGGGTCATCAGCATCTATATCGTCGAAGGCACTTCTGACTGATCCAAAAGTTAATCTATTAGGGATGATCCTATGCATCTTTTTCCTGCAAAACAATATCATAAAGAAGGCAATACTAAAATATCAAGCAAAAAATATATATGGCTTTGTTTTGCTACCTTTCTAATTTTGAGTGTAACTTAATGAACCATCTTGCGAATTCCCTTCGAGAACAAAAGTCGCTGGAGCTAGCATCTTTTTCAATTATCTGATCAAGCACAGAAGTTGATGAGAATATCTTTGGATAACATTTGTAAGAATTAAATCACTTGGTCATATGTTGAAAGTAATGGTATCATTAAAAATAATCCAAGCGGTCAAGCTTATTTATTGTGTTTTGATCAATCACTAGTCAAATGATACTCCACAAGAATGGACCAATTATTATTCAATGAAACTGCAGATCAAACTTAAAGACAAAATTTACAAATGTACTTCCTCCGTTTCACAATGTAAGTCATTCTAGCATTTCCTATATTCATATTCATGTTAATGAATCTAGATAGATATATATGTCTAGATTCATTAACATTAATATGAATGTGAAAAATGCTAGAATGACTTACATTGTGAAACGGAGGGAGTAAGAGCAATATCACATTTCTAAAAATCGACCCTATGCACCTATTAGGCGCGAGACACCAAGTAGCCACCCAGATTAGGCATTAGATGGTGCACTAGGTGGCTAACTAACCTTGGGGTCTCTTGTCCTGCTATTTTAGTGGTCAATGGTTAACTTTTATGTAATTTTATCGCTAATTGCTTGGTATTTACAAGCCATGTTGGTCCTAGGTGCCAGAGCTGCTGACCCTCTAGCGCCTAGTGCCTTCTTGAACCATGACATCAGATATCATATGAAACTGGAGTTGATAAATTAATAGAAGGTAGCTAGAAGGATAAATAAAACTTTAAATTAAATTCATCCTAGCAAACTATGTGGAGTATTGAGATTTAAGAATTATAGCAACTTCTGTTGAAAGAACTACAGACCTTCAAATTAATACAAAAATAGCAGTTGTCTCAGTAGCATGCAAGTGCATAATGTATCCTACCTAGCTAATCATTTTCAGAATATACTGTGTAAGACCCAAAAAAAAGAGAACACAAGGTAAGGTAAATGAGCAGCTTATTCACCAACGAAGTCAAAAAACAATGCTTCAACAATACAGAGTAGGTAGCAGGACATTTATGATTTGATATATTTCAACAAGCTACAAACAAGTCTGGCATACCTGTAGCTTCTTCAATATAGAGAAAGCCTCCTCGTGCATGGGATCTACAGGAGCTCTAAATAGAACATGTACACCACCAGCTGGCATGTGGTTTTGGCTTGAATCATCAGTTTTTGTATCAACCCTCTCGTCATTAGCTGTCTTTGAAACATCAATATTATCCCACTCCTTGTCACCTGCATCCTCCTCGGGAGTCTCTTTTGACTCCAGTGTTGATAACTTCTCTTGAACATAGTGTAATGGGGCATGTACAAATTGCTGCAAACCTGAACACAGCATTATTTTTTACAATTTATTTAAGTGTTCGAAAACAATGTCAAGCAATCGTGTGTTCACATATTGCATTGAGGATCTCCAACACAATGCACTGAACAAAGCATATTCAGTATTTACAAAGCAAAAGGTAACTGAACTCTTAACACCAGAATGAACATAGCAGATTCCAACCTAATTTAGCACCGGCTGATTTTGTACAAAAGTAGACAGTTCGCAACAAGGCAACAACCGAAAGTAAGAAAATACAACAAGCAGCAAAACATAAGCAGCAGGGATGACGATTGAGAATAATTTATGCACTAAGGTAACATGAATTAAGACAATCTAATCTATAATGCTCAACTGCATTCTCCTTTCCCCTTGTAACTAGCGGCAGCAGCAGCCAGCAGATTCTCTTACCCTGTCATAGCTAAGCGTCCCACTGGAATGGATAACTGAAGCTCCTCAATCCATCCCATACATTTAGCATTCAAACACACAGTGAAATAGGCAACACCACCGAAGTATGGTGTTCATAATCAAAATGGAGATAAACCAGTGAGCAACTCACACTTCCTCGACGACGGCAAGTGCCACATCATCCCCACCAATGCGATCGCCGCCGAAGCCCCCAGCCCGACCGCGAGAGCTCTTCGGGAACCCGCAATCCCAATCCCCACTGCAGAAACAAAAGAGAAGAGATCCGCTCAAAGCCCTCATCGAGCGATCGAATCGGACAGAAGAGATCCGCCCCCACCTTCCCTCCCGCGCTCCGCCGGCTGCTTCTGCTGCTGCTGCTGCTCGGGGACTGGGAGCCACCAGCCGCCGAGCCCGTCGTCGCTGCCGCGGTCCGTCGGTGCCCAGCTGGCCGCCGCCGCCGCCCTCGCGGTGGCCCCGCGGCGGCTGCGGGGGCGCTGGGGGAGGAGCGGGGCGTGGTGGTGCTGCTGCCGGCGAGGGGATGGCGACGGCGGCGGCGGGGAGAGGCGGAGGGTGTACGCGGTGGCGGTGGCCATGGGTGGCAGGGAGGGGGAGGGGGAGGGGGAGGGGGAGGGAGAGGGCGAGAGCTAGGGTTTTTGCGGCGGTGGCCTCATCGGACGGCGTCCATTTTGGGCCGTGCGCATCGCATTCGCATCGACCGAAGAGCTTTGTTTTATCCTCCTCCTCGACGCACGTAGGCGCTGCTAATTGAGCTGTTCACAGATGATGGACGACAAAAATCAAACGCATCAATTTCGAAAGTAAATTTCACGAAACTTCGGAATATCCGGTCATACTTACCAATTTACTATACTTTTAATCGGGCATTTTACAAGGTTATAACAATATTAAACTATTTTATCTGGGACTATAATGCGTGTTTAATATGTAGACTCAACTTAGACCCAACTTATAACAATGTATTCTCTCCATTTCATAATATAATAATCTAGTAGCACTGGAACGTGTCTTATCCGATACTAGGTTCCTATATTTGCAATGAAGGAAGTTAGTAAGAGTAATACTTTATCTTAAAAAACAATGTATTATATGTGTACCTGCAGACTGGTGGATCAGATCTTAGTTGAACAAAAGTTCTATTTTGTAAAGTTCTCTGATAAAATCACAAGCACTGTTGGAAGTTCTATTTAAAGTTGCAGCAAATCGTTTTGACGTAATAGTTTCACTATGAGAGTAAAAAATCATTCGCTCATTAAAAAATATACACCTCGATGTTGATATATCGCAGTCCAAATAAAATCTAGTTGAAACTTTGACCTATAGATAAATCTACATGGAAGAATGTTGAGTATGATCTTTTTGATAATAAGCAAAAGCTGTTTCGTTGGTATCTAAGTTTCCCACGCCTAACGAAGTGTGGCATGGCACAAAAGTACGGTCATGAAATCTATCTTTCAAGTTTATGGTGGTTAATAATTAATTTCTCGTTTCGTTTGCGCTGAAAGTCTTTCTCCAAACCAAAAAAACGAATGCAGCCTAAGTTGTGACCGTGAAATAAATATTTACATAACAGACTGTGGCATAACTAAGGTGTGACTTGACAAGGTGAAGTAATGAATCAAACGACCCCTTGGTACCATTGATACTGTGAGTTGTGGTGTATGGTTCCATCCAAATTAGTCACGCACAATGGTGGTGTTCTTTTTCTCCTGAATATATGAAGATGAAGTTTTTACGCAAAACGAGGTGGTATTAACATATGATTAATTGAGTTTTAATTATTACAAACTTAAAAAATAGATTAATATGATATTTTAGAGCAACTTTTATATAAAAAGTTTTCTCACGAAACACACCATTTAGCAGTTTGAAAAGCGTGCCATGAAAATCTTAATCTTCATCCAACTCTTGTTGAAGAAAAGAACGAGACCAATGTGTTTTTACTGTGGTAAGCCGACATTACGTGAATGAAGCAACCAGGTCAATTTGATGGTATATAAAGTCAATTCGAGGAAATAGACAATAAATCCCTAAATTAACTCTAAAATTAAGTTTAAAAGTTTAAATTTTGGCTACGCCTGATAGCAAACAAATTTTAAAGGCCTATAAATTTGGTTAGGGCATGAATTTATTGCTAGTTTCTACTATCTCTAAAGCATATAATGTGGGTCTTGCATGCCAATAAGGAAAAAAAAAGAGGTAACTCCTTATGATAATGATATATGATTTATGTAGATATTTGATGAAACTCGTGTAGTATTGAAAAGTTCCAAGTTTCAATCAACTCCCACATTTCATTGACAAGTTATATTTTTTCTGTTCATACTTCATAGTGTAGCAAGTAACTTCTTTAACAAATTGATCACACCACTATATCAGATTTCATAGGATGAAAGGGAAAGATGGACTTCCAACATTCCTCCTATAGAATTGTCTCGTTGCAGTCGTCTTATCAACCCGATCAAAACATAGACGATTCACATCAATGCAATGGAGAACTGGAGAGGATAGTGAGCTTACAAAAGAGCTATTCCCCTTTCAACTGGATCTTTGTCTTCGGGGCTTCAACTTAGGCTTGAATCAAACCATACACTGCTTTGACAAAGATTAACAGACAGTTTCCAGTAATCGTTCCCAGAAAAAGACAAACATAGCCAGTTCAGAATATGTGCTCGGACTAAGAAATACTCCATCCATTTTTAATAAGTTTTTAGAGAAATATAGCAATTGTTATAACATCAAATTAGTTTTATTAAATGCTAACATTCACAAAACAATATGTTTATTTGGTGTTGAACATGTTGCTTTGTTTTTCTATTAACTTGGTAAATTTAATAAGTTTGATTAAGAAAAAAGTTCATCTTATAATATGATATGAAATGGAGCGAGTAATAAACAAGGAATATATAAAACTTTCATCGATGCCTATTGCTACAAAACAAATGTTTCCATTCCAAGTAAACATTCTCACACAAAGATTACCTATTACACTCAGGGGCTGCCTCTCGCTAAAGAAATTCAAGAACTATTCTTTTAACAACATATGTATGCTTCTACTTTCTATCCTGAAAATGATTTCTCATTGATCAACTTGAAAAATATGTTTCCTAGTGAGTCATGTGTCAACTATATGAGCACCTCCACATCATCCTCGGCGCTTTCTTCCAAAAGGAGATCATCTCTTTGCTCAGCCTTCTTCCTTCTCTCATTCTTCTTCCTGGTCTCCTCACCTATAGCATTGGCGATGGCGATGGGTAGCCAAAATCCAGGCCTTTCGAGGAACTGAGCTCGGTGAAGAATCATCGCATCACGCCGTGTCACATCAATGCCATCGAAAGTCCACACCGCAACTGTGGCATTTCCTTTCAGGCCCAAGGAATACCAGCCTAACCCCGAAATAGCAATATCCATACTGTTCACATCCCAACTGACCCCCGACACATCAATCTGTCTTTCCGTCCAGTGACCTAATTCGGCAACTCGCTCTGGCCTGATCGGTGGCTGAATAACAACAGCATATAAATCAGTTTGACAAAGATGGAAAAAGTATGTTTATTTTTGTTCCAATGCTTCTCTTGTCAGTGATAATAACCCAACTACATAAACACTTATAATAGAGCAGTGGTAGCACCGGCAGTGCTCTTCAAAAAATTAACAGAACTTTGTCTGTGCAACAGGTGTTTAACCCTTAGATTTTAGACAACCAGAATTTCACATGTGCTTGTTTATTCGACTAGCATGTGGGATACACTACCGTTCCATAGAATAGCCTTACTTTGATGTAATCTTCAAGTATTATGTTCCCATTAAATATAGTACTATATTCTATAATTAAATGTACTGTTGGGCATACCTGAAGTCTGATGCCAAAATGTTTGTCCCGCAGTTCTTCAGCATTTTCAGTCTTCCCCAGATGGAGGGACACACTAGGAGATGCCCAAACAGTTATGTAGATAGTTTGGACTGAAGCTTTTAACACATCAAGTCGTGTTAAACCTCCAATATGTACAGATTGTCCTGCCTGAAACATTTTACAACCATTGGAGGGATCAACGGAATCTCACAGATCATGACACAACATAGAAGTATGGACAACCATAATGTTTGAAACTTTGATAGTACGAGTTGAGGACTGATAGAGGCTGCTAATGTGTGAAGTGTTTGATAGTACAAGTTTAGGTCACTAAACCATCCAAGGGATACTCAGTGCAAAGTGTTTCAAAAGTCAAAATATAGTACTACCTCTGACCGACACTGTTTAATGTGTGATTAACTATACTATCACTAGTACACAATTTCATCAATATTAATAAGTTACTACAAAAGGAACCTAGGAGTAACTACAAGTACGACATTAAGCCTTAAAGTGATACAGAGTGGAGAACTTGCACATGTTCAGATTTTGTCATGTGTCTATATTTATACATTTCAAGCTTGAGCAGTGACCACAAAGCTAATAAAGGACTAACAAAAGCTTGAGGATACTGTTTCGCTTCAAACAAAATGAGACTATTGGCACAACAGATTGAATGAGATAAGTCATTTCTAGCTATGAACCCCAGTAGATAAACTGTTCTATATAGGCAATAGTTAGTCATTAATAGGTCAAGTACTTTTACAAGGAAATAACATGATTAGTAGAAATGTAATAGACTAAAAAACTACCTTCACCCTGAAGCACCTTGGCCGGAGTTCTTTCCGAATTTCAACCATCTTGCGTTCCTCACTGTTTAATCTCATTGACATTATATATGGATGCAATAAGCCAGGAGTGTCATACATTTTAGCCTTTGCTGGCAAAACACCTGTTATTCTCAAGATTCCTAATGTAGTTCCTGGCACAGCAGCCTCAGTCAACCTTGTGATTTTGACACCTTGTTTCTTTGCAAATGCATTAATTAGAGTGGATTTCCCAGCATTCTGTGCACCAATCACCCAAACATTGCTACGGGGCCCAGCTAGTTCCTTGACATATGAGATCAAGTTTCTGACAGACAAATCCTTATGAACACTGATCAAGAAAACAGCATCCAGCTTTGGTGCTCCGAAAGCCTTAGCTCGGCCTCTCACCCACTTCTCCAGCCTCACTCCCATTTGCTGCCATGGCAGCAAATCCACCTTCGTTCCAACAAGAACAAGCCTTGGCGTTTCACTCAACTTAGAAGTTCCCCGCCCCTCGAGCGCCTTGAACAGCGACTTGGCAGCCCTCTTTGGGAATGAGCCGTCAAAGTCCGCGCAATCCGCTACCATGACGATAACCGGTGTGCCAGCTGAACGTTTCATCAGACGGGACGATATGAACCGATCGAAATCGAAGTCCGGGATCAAATTCTCAGCCTTGTCATTCTTCACATGCCCATAATTCCTCAGTGAGTGGCACCGGGCACAGACCACGGCGGCGTCCTCCTCGGCCTCGGCCTTCTTGGCTTCCCGTGCCCGGCGTTTCCTCTCGGACTTGGACAGCTTCTCCTTCTTCCATCTCTCGAGTGTCTCCTCAGTGATCTTTCCATACCCAACTCCCGGTGGGGTGAAACCATCCAGTTCTTTCCTCCATTTCTCCTCCTCGTCTTCCATCTCCTCATCCCAATCCGAGTCCCAGTCGCTCGAGAAGCCATCGATCTTGGCATCTATGTCAGCCTTCATCTCCGCCCCATCCTCTCCATTCTCATCCTCTTCTTCAAGAAATTCATCCAAATCGCTGTCCAGACCGTCCAATTCGGCGGCAAGATCAGATTCCGACGGCGCACCGTCCTCCTCGTCGTCTCCAAGAAATCCATCAGGCTCGGCGGCAAGAGGAGGCGACCCGTCTTCCCCCATCTCGTCGTCGGAGAGGCGGGAGGGGTTCTTGAAGAAGCCGGGCAGGTTGGGGTCGGCGTCCTGCATGAACACGCCGCAGCCGGGGCAGACGGGGCGGCCGACGGCGGCGTCCTCGTCATCCCTGCCCTCGCTGATGACCGGGCTCGGCGGCGGCGGCGGCGACCTGCCGCGCTTGCCGGCCGTGGACACGGCGGAGACGGGGGAGAAGGAGAGGCTGCGGCTCTGAGGCGGCGGGCAGAGGAAGAAGGGGAGGACGCGGAATGGCGGGGCCGCGCCGACGGCGAGGCGGGAGGGGAGGCGAGCTGCTGCTGCCGCCGCGACGGTAGCGGGGAGGAGGAGGGGTTTAGCCATTGGAGGCGGCAGGCAGCGCCCAGCGCCCCAGCGGCGAGAGGATAGGGGACAAGGGAGCGAGTGATCGTTTCCAGTCCAAATTGCGGGGAGATCTCCGAAATTTGGAGAAATTGTGAAACAACCCTCCACAAATAACAATTGATGCCTTACAGGCCTGTTTGGCACAGCTCTAGCTCTAGCTCCACCTCTCTTGGAGCTGGAGCTCAGCCAAATAATTTTAGCTCCACCTAAAATCTTATATACCGATTTCTGGGTTACAGCTCCGTCTTGTGATTGGGCCACGTGGCACCACGATTATAACTCAGCCTAGATTCTCGACTGGAAAAGTGTGCCACGTATTCCCACTCATTCGCAGCCATCCGATGACATATTAATGGTGACAAAACGTCCAGCGGATCTAAATGTAAATTGCAAATTTTAAGAGGGATTTTTTCTCAAATGAGAAATCTCATCTAGAACAACCAGGAGCAGAGGAAAACATACTAGGAAAAAAAAGAATCCAACAAAAAAAAAGTCTGGCAAGAATAAGATTTCTCCTCTCCGAATCACCATGCCATCGTCTAGCTAACAATGACAGCGACGATGACCTTAAGCTTGATGTACCTCCGGGAGCTTCTTGGTGCCGCCCTGCCTTGATCTACACCACCATAACCTGCTTCGGGTGACCTACCTCCACCTAGACATGAGCCAGATAAGGAGGATGCGAGAGACGAGAGGCGAGAAGTGGAGCTGGCGGAGGGAGATGGAGGTCCCCTGCGCCTGGTCGCCTCGATCTGATCGTCTCTCCACCTAAAATAGGAGCTGAAGCTGGGTGGAGCGCTATCACAAAATGAACTAGAGATTTGAAGTTGGGTTTTAGCTTTCCACAACTCCACTCCAAATCCAACTCCTAAAGCTAAATTTTGGGGTTGGAGTTGTGCCAAACAGGCCATGAATTTAGGCTACTCCACAACTCCACTCTAGATTTAACTTCTGGAGATAAATTTAAGAGTTGCAGCTCTACCAAATAGGCACTCTAAAAATATACATATCATCTAAAAATGTATCATTTATATCCAATTTAATAGTCTGTTCATATAATAGTTACATATAAATATATACTTTATCATTAAAATCTAGTCACACATCTCATACAAACATACAACCATAAATCTATATCTCCTTGACATGTGCTTATAGTTGGCTTAGGACATGTACAATAACCCCATCCCAGTCAACTAATAGCCAAGCCACGTCACCATACATGTTGGTATTTCTTAACCTTACAGATAAAATCCGCAAGCGGACGAAAAATACCGATGTAGCACTTCATCTGGGAGTATTCTTAGGTATCGATTTCCATAGGGAACATGTGTGTTAACTCCGGTTTAAGTTCATCCAAGGACACGAAGCTAAAGATAGGCCAAGGATAGAGAGATTTCACCGGTGGAGAACAGTGTCTACGGAAAGCTTAACTTTAATCCTAATGAGGTACTTCGGGCACTGTCCAGCTCGCTGCTCCCAGATATCGCTCTACTGCACACCCGGGAGGACTTCAGTGTCGTGAGGACTGTCACCACCTCTATACCCACCTCACACCTATTGTGAGATGCAGAGCAAACACCAGAAATTAATTACCTAGACACCACGTCTAAGCAGATTAATTACTTACTTTAATGTTAGCTACACACCAAAGTAAATCACTATATTTTAGTTGATTATAGTGAACGATGATCCCGTACTCTAAATAGGAACTAACCAAGAGATAATTCTCACCAAGCAAAACTAAATTACTCAAAAGATAATTCTATTATAACTAGAGTAATTAACAGAGCGTAAAGAAATAGGGAGAGGATTACCGACAACTCCGGAATTCCTCCGACTTCTACTCTACTCTCTTCCCAATCTAGTATACAGTATAGTACAGTAGAGCCTCTTATAATTTAGCTTGTGTATTGGAGTGAGTGAGGTGAGGTCTTTATATAGGGGCAGGTATGACGGTTATGGAACGTGAAAAGACACTTCTGCCCTCCAACCGTCATTCAGGAGCTCATCTGGACCGTCCACGCGAAGCCCCAGATCGAACGGCCGTGGGAGTGAACCCAGGTCTGGCCCGACAGAGCCCATCTTCGGCCTGTTACTCCTTCTCTGCCTCCTCTATCCATTTCTGCTAGTGGAAAGCCCAATTAATGATGCTCTTCGGTAGTTTCTGGCCCACTCGTAGTATGGATAGGAATTATTCTTCACTCAAGTCTATTTTTGGTCCAACTCTGGTGGTTTATTACCTGCATACAAATATACGCCAATACTCGTGGAATATGTCAGAATTTAACATTTTCACTATGTTGGATGTTTTATTTTTATGGTTTTATGCAAGTATTGGTGGCATAAAATTTGTCATTAACAACCGCCAACAATACACCTACGTGGAAGAGAGAGGACATGAGAGAGGGAGAGAGAGAGAGGAGTAGACGCTTAATCTGGTGCTAGCAGAACACGAGTTTCTAGATTAGTTTTACCTCCTGTGAAAAAAAATACTGGCTTATGAACGAATAAAGAAAGGCATCTCCGGTGTCATAAAATGTGCATAGAGATGGCTTGTGTATGTGTCGGTTGTAGACCCTGCTCTAGCTGATTTGGACAGAGTTCAGAGTAATCAACCATCTTTTTTATTGCTCTTGCCCTTATAACCTACTCTCTCCGTCCCAAAATAAACCAACATCGTACGGGATGTGACACATCCTAATACGATGAATCTGGACACTCCTGTATAAGGTTTGTTTATTTTGGGATGGATGGAGTACTATTGTACTTGTTCTACAAAGAACTTTGGAAGTTTATAGAAAGTTTCACTATTGATAGTGAAAATTTTCCATTTCAGTCAGAGCTTAAGATCATGGGATTTAGTAATTATTTTGCGCTGAATGGTTGAATGGATTCATGCTTTCAAATGAGTTAATTAACTATTATAAAGTTGAAAATAGAATTAAAACGATATTTTAAGAAATTCAGATATCATTATTTGAAAAATATATTCATATGTAGAATATTTTTTGCAAAGATCTCACAGTTTATGAGGTCAGGAAGGGGTGCATATTCATCGTTTTATCTAGTCGTTGGAAGCAAATGGGTACATTTACAAACTGAGATGAAATGAATTTGATTGCCACAAAAAAATTGAAGCTCACAATAGAAAAACAATAGAAAGTACCTCCATATGTGTTCAACTATATGTGCAATAGCAAAACAAATTGAAAAATAACAAAAGAACAAATTGAATACAAAATTCCAATCTTGCCATGTGTTGACATTTATACATCTGATATTTTTTGTGCCGGACTTTCTTCCATACTTTTATGTCCCACTTCATAACCCAAAATGATGTTGATTTTTAAGTGAAATTTTGACTAGTACTTTGAAACTTTGAATTCTTACCTAAAAATATTTCAATAGAGGATAAAAGGTAAACCCGGTTATCGCAATAAGGGAAACCCTGCATCCATTCCACAATGTTAGTGCTTCATCACATCATTACTAGGTATTTTTGTTGTATTGCTCCAGTAGTAATTCAGTCGGAGAAATAAAATAAGCATGGGACAAAAGGGTTAGATCTCAAATATTTAAACTACTAAATCATGCCCCAATCTTAGCGCTTCATTACATTGCCACCAGGTGTACTTGTTGTATTGTTCTAGTAGTAATCTAGTTGGAGAAATAAAATAAGCATAGGACAGAAAAGAGTTAGATTTCAAACATTAAAACTGCTCAATCATGAAAAATCAAACAATAAATATTCAAAACAAACATTGAGGATCAACTACTACCTTGTATTTGGAAATTTCAAAATTTTCAATTGTTAATGTTGAAATAATTACAATTATTTTTGAAAAAGTAGGATCTAAATAAAAATAGTAAACATTGCCTATAAAAAAAATAGTAAACATTAATGTTGGAAGTATAAAAATATAAAATTTGAAAATTATTAATTCAGATTTAAATCAATTTTTAACAAAGAGTAAAAATACATCGTCGATCCCCAAACTTGTCCCAAGATACCATCCAGATCCAAAAACATGGAAAACGAACAAATTGACTTAGAGACAAATATGTCTTTTGATTCAAACTAAATCTTGGTACAGATTATAGCTGGTAATTATCATTAGGAAAATGTTGTCTCTCATCTCTACTCTTGATTTAATTTCCATCCTACTCCTAAATTGGGAAATTTGATCATTGTACTTTGAACATTGGGGATACATCCATCCACCCATTTAACATGCTTTGTCATTGATCTACAAGATATCCAAGTTGATATATTTAACATAGCATCGGGTAGGACCCACACGCACTATTATAGCTGATAGTGGAACCGATGATTTCCTCTCAATTTCTCTCCTCAATAATAAGTGAAGTAGGTCTTATCACAAGCTCAAATCCAACTTGGCCTTGCCACACTTTGTCATCTCTACTCAATTTATCCCTAACTATTTAGAATGGAGAATTGAATGTGCTTGGAAACTTTGTAATATCTAAAATGACCTAGGATAGAATAGAAGCGCCACCTACACGCGAATTAGCTTCCGAGGTCGAGCAGTCTCAATTTCACTACAGGATTTGCGAATGAATGCTAGGCTGGGCCAGATTATATATATTAATCTTGTTTTGGGAAGCTACATAATATATGTTAGCTTTTTGTTGTTCAAAGCTACATTTTTTATGGTATATTGGAACATATGATATGTAGATAAGCACAAACCATAAAGAAAAGCTACCCACCTTCAAATAATCAACTTGCACCATATGTCCATGCTTAGCATTTTGTACTAATTCAACTAAATCTCAATTCATATCTAAGTTCATTTATTTGCAGTTCTACGCACTACACAGAAATGAATAGTATTTATTGTGTTGAGGAAAATTTGGGAAAATCATCACTGAATAACAAATAACAACAATGCAACAATGAATAGTTGTTGCATACAGTTTAGTGATTGTTGTGTATTTTGTTGTTTGCAATTTTATTCATGAAGGCTTATAAAAAATGTTATTCACTAGTTAAAATGTGGCCTGAAATTTTAGGTGCTGTTAAATCGTAGAAACAAATCTTAGCAATATAACCATTGCGCCTCTCTATTTATATACATCTTTTTTTTTTCTGAAGGGTCTGTTTATGTGCGTGTATGTGTGCACACGTGTTTCATTGTACATAAGAACACAAATAGCACCCTCACTGCCTCACATATATCTTCTCATATATCTTCTATAGATTAGCTCCTCATATATACTAGACAAAACCAACTCACGTTGTTTCATCTTCTCTGCTGGCCTCCTACACTATTTTATATCCTTATATCAAGTTTCGTGGTCAAGATCACAAAATACCCTTTAAACAAAAGGAAAAAAAAACTTTCCATCTTCTTTACCGGTACATATATGTTAAACAAAAGCAACAAAACTTCAACTTCACGTTTGAAGATAGCTTTGCCACAAAGCGAAGCTAATTTAACTTCCGGTTCATCTTCTCCGCTTACGAAAAGCAATTACGTACCACTGTTTCAGCCTATTTTGCTACTTCCTAGCTTTAGTTTTCTTAAAAGTAGTTTTATCTGGTATCTAGATGCAGTTCCTGAAGTTTCTTGGCTAGTAAGCGCAGGAAAAAGAACAACTTATATATGATGATCTCTTAACTAACTCATTCTAGCCTAAACAACTTATTGCTGATGTTGAAAGGTCCCCACAACAACAGCATTCCCCATACCTAGCGTCCACAGTATGCAGGGACAATATAATTTATTGATGTAAAATCCTCTGTAGACAAATTGACTAGGGAAGTTATAATGTTTAAAAGCGATTAAAAAAATTCTCCTTGCTTTAACTGGCATATAACTTCCACACCCACATCTCTAACCTATAGCTAAAATAAACTATATATTTTTTTTTGCAAACATGCAAAAGTTTTAGGTGTCGAATTATATTAGGTGGAAGCAACATAGTACACAATGCAAACTGTAGATCAGTAGCAGGAGAGTTATATGGATTGAGAGATTACACCATTGAACATGTAAATTTGTAGACAATTTCAGCAGGGGGAGAAATAGGGACCCAAAGAACAAAACGTCATAATAAGTCAAAATCGAGCAATCCCTCACAAATGTCAAGCAACTAAAGCCTAGTCGCTCGCAACATGTGCATCATCTAGCTACTTTAGAAGGAAAGAGGATCGTGGCTAGAGAGAAACTAAGTACTCCATATTTTTTTTTGACATGAATTACTGTCAGGCATTAGCCCAACAGTATAGCTTTTATAAAAAAAATGGAAAATATTTACATCTAAGTACTCCATATTCATATCTAAGTTCACTTGTTTGTGTTTCTACCATGTGAAATAAAATTATTTGTATGAGAATTCGAGGACATACTAGGAAATTCATCACTCGATAAAAAGAATGACACATATATAATTAGCATGCCATTCATCACCCGATACCAAATATATAATTAGCATGCCATTCATACTCGCATTTGAATGTTAAAATTCTAACAAATATTTAATATGCAAAATCTATCACTTGTTCTCTTTCTTTTTCTTTTCCATTACCTTTCTCTCCTTTTTCCTATGACATGGCAAGTTTCAGTGGGCCCAAGGACTACATATAGCAACATGATAAACTGTAGATTGCAGAGGTTCTATTCTTGTATTGTTATCTTGATGGATCTTTTAAAATAGATGTAGCTTTGTGATAAACTTTATGCTAAATATGCAGTTTTACAATACCATACTGTGATGATTTCAGTATTAAATTTGTAGTTTTGTGATATGGCATATTAAGTCTATCGATTTGTTATTGTTTTATCAATTTATCTCTAGTTTTTTTAAGGTTTACTAGCTCCAGTTTCAATATATATCTCATCACAGCAAAACAAATGGAGTAAATGAATTCTTTGCCAAGATTGATGGTCCCCGCAGAAAAAAGGCACTCCTTGTGCCTCACACCTATAATGCCGAGACAATATTTTGTTGTAATAATTATTGATGAACAAACTAAAATAATCAAGCTACAGGGACTAAAATGTTTTTATAAAAAACTCTACGCTTTAACCGACATAGAATTTCCACACTCCAATCTTTACTCTCCAGCTCCAGAAAAAAAAAAGAAATAAATGATATAACTCTATATTCTTTTATCTGTACACGCAAAAATTTTAATTATGTCTTGAATTATATTAGAAGAAAACGGCATAGTACACACAACGGTAGCTTTAGTCAATAAAGTGAGCAGTTCACAAATTAAGAGATTACATAATATAGAATTCCAAACTATTTAGGCAGTTTTAGCATGTAAAAGTGGGAAAAGAAAAGAAAAGAAAAGAAAAGAAAAAAAGAAACAGAGGCCGGCCGGGACCAAAGCGTAGACATCTTGAATCGAATGCAAGTGTACTAATTCCTCAGGCGTGTCGAACAACCAAAGCCCCTCGGCAACATACGGAACATCAAGCTATGGCACACCAACTTTAGAAAGAAGGAAGATTAAACCAGGAGCTAGCTAGACACAGCAGACAAGTTAAGTAGATATTAATCCCCACACAATCTCCAAATTAAAACCATGCATGCTTATCATCATCACCATCACCACCAACAAGAATGTCCATGTCATCCTTCCACCATCGATCTCTCCATCTCTTTCATCCCCCCTCCACCTATAAATACTGCTAATTAGCTCCCTCTCTTCTTCATCCAAGCTAGCTATAGCTAGTATATATCTGACAAATTCAGAGAAATTCAGAGAGTCACCGCGAGAGCTTAAGCTAGCTAGCTAGCCGGCCATGGCATCGCATGTGGACCCGCTGGTGGTGGGGAGGGTGATCGGCGACGTGGTGGACCTGTTCGTGCCGACGACGGCCATGTCGGTGCGGTTCGGGACCAAGGACCTCACCAACGGCTGCGAGATCAAGCCGTCCGTCGCCGCCGCGCCGCCCGCCGTGCAGATCGCCGGCAGGGTCAACGAGCTCTTCGCTCTGGTCAGCACACACACACACGCACATGTGCAGCAGAATTATACTTGTGTTAATTACTAGTCCCTTTTGACATAAGCATGCTTAATTACTGCCTTGATCTGACTATTTGATCGACACATGTCGTGTTTTGTTGCGACCTGTGTGTGTTCGTGCGTGGTTAGGTCATGACTGATCCAGATGCTCCTAGCCCCAGCGAGCCGACTATGAGAGAGTGGCTTCACTGGTAATTAATTATTATTACTGTTACTGTTTTTCTTTTAGTCTTTTAATAATAAATATGGTATATACCTATATATATATATCTCCGGCGTGTGGCAACATGCACACGGCTAATTTACTGTTACTGTTATGCATGAACTCGCCATGAATTTAAATGGTGATTATTTCGCATTGTGTCTTTTTCCTTTTGAAGTTACCGTTGCGGTTTTCTTTTTTTTTTAACTGTTCTATTGTTTTGGACCAGGCTGGTGGTTAACATACCAGGTGGAACAGATCCTTCTCAAGGTAAATAATCATGCAAGCATGCTAGTACCTTATAATTTCCTAAACAAGCTTAAGTGATATATATAGTACAGTATTACTTCCTAATTGACACTCTTTCTTCCATGCATCTTCACTTTTACTATATATAGTCAAATATATCATGTATTAGAGTGTGTTTAGTTCACGCTAAAACTGAAAGTTTGGTTGAAATTGGAACGATGTGATGGAAAAGTTGTAAGTTTATGTGTATAGGAAAGTTTTGATGTGATGGAAAAGTTGAAAGTTTGAAGAAAAAGTTTGGAACTGGCCGTGTTTAGTTCACCCCCAACTACCCCAAACTTCCAATTTTTCATCACATCACATTACATCCAAAACTTTCCTACACACATAAACTTTTAACTTTTTTTCCGAACTTTCAACTTTCTCCAAACTTCCAATATTTTTTAGGAACTAAACACAGCCTAAACAAGGCCTTAATTCCCCACAATGCAATTAACCGAGTTGCATGCACTGATTTTGCCCTGTGCAAGGAAGGTCGCTAGCAAGCGCTAGTAGTAGCAGTAAGCAAGTAGCAACCGACCGGCTAGATTCGGCGTAGCTATGCAGAGCCTGTGTCCATTTCAGCCAGCTATAGCTGCAGGCTGCGCACAGTAGGTGCCAGCCGGCGAGCGGCCACCTGTCGGCCGCCACGAGCAACATGTGGCGGGGCTGCGGGCCCCGCCGGTGGTACACGTGTAAGCCCACCTCCGCACTCCGCGCCGCCACGTGTCGCACGCCGGACGACGACGTCGGCCGCCACCGTCGTCATCGTCATCCGGCCGGTCGTCTCACATCGCTAGCTGGATTTAATTAGTTTAATTCGTTGGATTAATTAAACAGGGAGGAGGCTAATCTAGTCTAGCTACACGGTTGTTTTGGCTCTCATCGACCCTGATCCAACGACAAAAAAGACGTCGCCTAGCTTTTTTTGAGTTCGTCCTGGTAGGGTGGGTGGTGTGACCTGCTGGCGTGATCTTTTTCATCTGGCGACTCTTGGAAGCTTTTGGCCAAGGACACGTAGTCGCTTATCCATGATGATTAATTCACACTGTACATTTGGTATCTTCGTAGTCAAGAGTAAGATTGCTAGCTAGCTAATTCAACCCAAGATCACCCGTCAAGAGTTATAGTGGAGTTGGTTCGCACGCGCACGGTTGATCTTGTAACAGCGACCGTCGTCTTATCGTTGATTAAAGCTGCATCATAATTTGATTTGATAATTAACACATGAATTATATTACTCCGTAGGCAAGCAGCAGCCAGAAGCTGTTTAATTACTGATTTTGATGTGTTCGTTTAATTTGTGGATCGATGCAGGGGATGTGGTGGTGCCGTACATGGGGCCACGGCCGCCGGTGGGGATCCACCGCTACGTGATGGTGCTGTTCCAGCAGAAGGCGCGCGTGGCGGCGCCGCCGCCCGACGAGGACGCCGCGCGCGCCAGGTTCAGCACGCGCGCCTTCGCCGACCGCCACGACCTCGGCCTCCCCGTCGCCGCCCTCTACTTCAACGCCCAGAAGGAGCCCGCCAACCGCCGCCGCCGCTACTAGCCTCCCTCCCCTCGCTCGGCGTCGCCCATCCATCCATCCATGGACGGCGACGGCGACCTAGCTAGCTAATAAGCCATCGGTCGGCCATGCTCGCCGTCCAAACTATCATGCACCATATCATGTCGTCGTTTATGTGGTTAATTAATTATTTCCGGCGTTTTATTACTGTGTGGTGATTAATTAGCTGAACTATTGTTTTGATGATGGTGATTGTTTTAGTACACTACGGACACACGCATATACAACACTACACGCACAACCACACTCACATCCTGTGAATGCACCCCTAACATACGCGTTCTAAGCGACGGAAACCTAAGACACATTCAGTACCCCGGGTCAAGTCATCTCTGTCGGACCTAATCTATCACCTCTAATAGGTTCGGTCCTCGCAAGATATTAATCATCAGTGATGACTCCCCTCATATATGGCGGGTGAAGACCCATCAGTGACGATAAACATCTCCGATAGGCCGCATATAGAAGAGGCCCACCATATGTAAGGTTGACCACCTTGACTAGGTAGTGTTTGCTAACTGTTACAGGTAATTGTGACGGATCTATCACAGGTAATTGTGACTTCTCATATGTAATGGCTTGACAACGTAGTGTAAAAGATAAGTCATTGATGAGTTAATTGGAAAAAAATAAATTTTAAATATTGGCTAGCCTCAGGATTGCTAGCAATGCTCTCAAAAAAACAAATCATATCACAATCACATATATTCCCAGCCGTTCTCCCCAATAGGCAATAACTCCCGACCAACAACCCAAAATATGTACAAAAACATACAATTCAAACTCCCAAGTTACATATTCACAATGCAAATGTCTTCCTCATATATTTATTTTAACTCTTAAAGCCAAAAATTTACACTGTTATATACTTGACGCCCATGGTTTCAAACAATGACATGTCATGTTAATAACTAGAAAAGGAATTGAATAATACGTAATACAAAATGATGATTGGATGTAAATGTTGAAAATATTATGATAATTTAGTAACCTATCCTAAATTACCAAAAATGACAAAATGTGAGGAGTTCGGGGTGCCAAGGTGTTTTAGTCTCTAACAAACCAACTTGGCACCCATAGCACTCCCCATTTTGTGATGATTTGATAATCAAAGAACTAAAAATAAATTAACATTGCATATATATGATTAAATAACATTGTCAACCACACCGAATAATACTTGTATGTTACATAACCAAGATTGTTTAATATATTGACCACAACTAGCACTTTGATCATCTACTTCTCACGAAATACTCCTTTCTACTTCATGATTTCCGCGAGCATGAAAGCAGCAATTTCCCATCTTATAGAAGATGGGTTGATGGGGCTAATTTTTCACATAGTATTACGTTGAATAAGACCTAAGTATGTATTGAGGAATAATATCGGTTTATATAAACAAAACATGATTTTGAGCACAAACCTCAGGGTCGGAGTCATTCACTTGTTTCATTATTGTTGACATGTTGTGGCACACGTGGAGAACCACACTAGTCCCCGATCTGTGATGCACATTTGAATTCGGTGTTGATGATGGTATCACTAGCTCGGATATGACCCTGATTACCTTATATATTCATCAACCAAATATGGATTCTTTCTATGTGAGAGTTATGTGTTATATATTTGAACAAGTATTATTGCATTATGAATTTTGTGTAGTCTCATTTGCAGATGTACTTGCTTGGATAAAGGGAAAGAAACCGAGTGCAAGAAGTAAAGAAGTTGATTGGGGATCAAACTAAGACCTTCCAAAGTTTACTCTAACATTACCACATCACTTTTGGTCTATAGAAGGCAAGAGATGAAGTTTTGTACGTTTTGGATTCGTATCTAGGTCTCCTTACAACATAAACTTCAAACGGATCTAGCCGCTGATCTAGAATGAATCTCAAGGCCCATGAGTTCTTGTTGTAAAACAATCCACGTACCTCATTTAGTTCGAGTTTGATTTGGACCTTGGGCCTTATAATTGCGTCATGGGCTAAGCCCAGGGGTGGACGCCCTAGGGCTAACACTAGGACGTCCCTAATTATATTTATTCAGTAGCCACATAGTATAGACTGGGGGGTTTTGCTTAGATTATTTCTACCATTGCAGTTTCATCGCTAGTACGGTTTGTGGAATCCCATCTTTGAGATCTTAATCATTCATCTACGAATTGAGCTGCAATATACCTTGTTCTTGCTTGTGTTTTTCGATTCGCATGTAGGGATTAGCCTTCTCCGCGAGGTCAACTGGGCAGCGCATTGTTGATAACCAAAGGAGACATGGCGCTATGATCTAGAATGAATCTCGAGGCCCATAAGTACTTATTGTAAAACAATCAGCATACATCATCTAGTCCGAATTTGATTTGGACCTTAGGCCTTATAATTGTGTCATAGGCTAAGCCCAAGGGGTGGACGTCCTGGGGCTAACACTAGGACATCCCTAATTATATTTATTCAGTAGCCACATAGTTTAGATTGGGTTTTTTCTTAGATTATTTCTACCATTACAGTTTCATCGCTAGTACGGTTTGCGGAATCCCATCTTTGAGATCTTAATCATTCATCTACAAATTGAGTTGTAATATACCTTGTTCTTGCTTGTGTTTTGTGATTCGCATGTAGGGATTAGCCTTCTCGGCGAGGTCAACTGGGCAGTGCACTGTTGATAACCAAAGGGGACATGGTGCTATGATTGTAGGGTTCGGATCATATTGATCGGAAGTCAGATCATGTCTGTCAAGTTTCTGCCAGGTCAAGAATTATCAATACCTATCAGAAGATCGGGGTCCAGTTTCTCATTAGTTGATATCAAAGTGCCAGATTGTCTGTTAGGTACACCCTGTATCTTTTAGGCTAATATTTTTTATACCTATAGCCAAAATATTGTCACATAAAAATATTGCATCCATTATATTACCTAGCCAATTTGAGACGTTGGATTTTTTGTTTAGATTTTGCTTTGTTGAATTATAGGTTGCATTGTTGTGTCAAGTGTCGGTTTAGTTTTAGACTTAATTGTTTATTTGAGTCTTGTATCTATCGTCACTTTGGTCTAGGGTGTGTGTTTGTCGCAGTGAGTTTTGGTCCAATTTTGCATCTCATCATTTTTTTTGGGACCTTGAAAAATTGAACCCTATCGTCATGGGATTTCCTTTTATAGTTTGCGGAAGTTTGTGTCATTTAGTTCTGGAGTACATTGCTAGGGTTCTTGTGCCTTTATGGTGCTTGTTTGTGCATCTAGATTAGATTGGAGAAGATATCCTCCACCACGTCAAGGTTGACCCTGCTCCACTTAGTTGGACCAAGTAAGTGTTCATTCGAAGTTGGTTATGATTAGGGCCTTCAGTCCTTCACTTTCTATAGTGATCAAATTTTGGTTTGCATAAACGGTACTTTGCATTTGATTCTCTATAGTTTTTGACTTTTACATTTGAGTCCCTATAATATTTATATTTACTTTTTAGTCCCTAGTCGAAGTTCATTCCTATTACAAAATAAATAAAAAAGCAAAAGAAAAAAAAGAAAAGGTAGAAAGGTGCTAAAAAAGAAAAAAAAAATGAAGTTGTACCTAAAAAAAAGGCATAGACATAGAGAATGGGCAGCGGGGAAACAGGTGCCCCACATCTTCTTTTTCGTGTAGGCATATCTCACACATCACGGACTAGACATTTCTTTTCAAAAAGAATTCACTACGCCGAATCAGGTCACATTTGACGGGTTTAGCCCTAGTCAGAGATTAGTGGTCACTGATGATTAAACTCATTTTGACGGGTAAATGCCCGTCACTGTTATGGATCACCTCTAACGGATTGCAAATTACAACCAGTCACAGGTAATGTTCACCCCCTTTGACTGGTCACATCGCAAGCACGATGCGCCCGTCAAAGGTGCTGGTTACCGGTGAAAAAAAACAAAATATAATATGTTGTTTTGCTAGTTGTAGTTGCATTCATCTCACAAATTCACACACAAAGGACGAAAGAAATGCCGCAAAATAGGTTTACATGTAAATTAACTTGCACTGGCAATAGTTCTAAGCACATCATGAAATCAAACAATCTGGGCAGCACAAAATCAATAGAGGACAACATAATCGATCAAACTGAATCATCACAAAATATGAATCTAGCAAAGGAGGAGAGAAAGACCTCCTGAGCACCACCGTCGCACCCACCTCCACCTCCCAAGCGCCATCATTTGCTCCCACCGGAACTGACCGCTGCAAGGTCAAGGGCAGTCAGATCTAATGACCCCCGACCTTGGGTAGGCTGGATCTGGAGGCGGAGGGGCCAATGGCATTAGGACCTCAAGAGGCGGCCTCCACCCCGAGCTTATTTCAGCGTCGACATCGCCTTCGATCCCGAGCTCCGCCACCAATCTTCCACCGCCTTCGCCTTCGCCTCCGCGCTCGACCTCCAAACACACATTCACATCCAAACACACGTCTGGGCATCACGAAATCAATATAAAATGCGCCAGAAAATTAATGAGAATGAAACAAAGACTTGCCATTGACGATGAAATCCTAAAGCTGCTGTTGCCAAGCTCAACGCTGGAGGAGGATGTCAACGCTGATGGTGCTTCGGCATCATCGTCGCTTGAGCGGATCTGCAGGAGGCGGCTGCTGATGACCTTGGAGCAGAGGACGAAGGAGGAGGTGGCCGGAGCATGGGGCCATCCAGATCTGGTGGTCTCCAACCACCTTGAGACTTGATTTGGTGCCAAGGAGCATGGGGCGGCGGAGAGATGGTGGTCGGCGACCTTGGGCGGTGGTGGGCGAAGGAGGCGGCGGCCTCGAGCTCCTGGAGGCTAGTGGCGAGCGAACGTGACAGTGACGCGGTCGTGGGAAGGAAGCCGCAACAACCGGTGGTTGGCGGGCTGGTGGAGGAAGCGAGAAGAGAGGAGGAAGAGAGAGTGGAGGAGATGGGGAGGGAGTAGGGGTGGAGGAGAGGAGGAGAAGGGGCAAATTGGTGGGTGGTAGGCCCCCTGGGTGGGGGGGTGGGGGTTTTCTTTTTTTTAAGTCACCACCGACGGTATAAAAATTGAACATGTTTGAGGTGAGATATCTCAACTGTGACGGGTGCAAACATAAAACCCGTCACAGGTAAGAGGTCATCAGTGACGGGTCTATATGTGGACACATCAAAGACGTTATGTGTTGGGTCCTTGTATAGATCCGTCAAAGGTGAG